TTAGATGTGACAAGAGCTGTCTGCCTCTTGGATGCTTCTCCTCCTGGTCTTGTAAGCCTCAGCGATACACGACTGCTGATTACAGCAGCAAAGATGTGCTGCAGTTTGTGATTGCATGTTGCTTTGCTTCGCTGAGCTTCATCTCTAGTTGTTTATTGAAAACCCCGCAGATCCATTCATGCGTATCTAACACAAAGCAACATTTGAGGCTTTCGTTATAATTGCCAGCTTATGTCTTTGCGTAGTCTAGTCTGAATCTAGATTTTGGTATTTAGTTTTGGCTTTGTTGTGCAAATAGCCACCATTAAAGGATACTATTCGGGTGTTTGTGTGGCGGAAGCAACAAAAAAATTCTCTTTTCAGTCATTTGATTTAGATATTCTCAAAGCAAACTTCAAGACAACCTTTAACGACAGCTAAAGGTATGGTTGAGCTGCAACAAAAAGCTGTAAGTTTGAGAGAGTTTACATAAACAAGACCCGACTAACATTTCTAACAACATAACAAAAGCTCCTGGCGGTTAGGAGGAAGAAATTTGCCTTTGGAGTCATTGTGTGGAACACGGTGGCGGTAGCATCATGGTTTGGGGCTGTTTCGGTGCTTCTCGGCTGATGCAGCTCCGCCAAAGTGAATTTGAAATTATTTTAGCACATTTTCAGGAAAATCGTGGAACAGAAAGCATCCGTGTCAGCTGAACCTCACAGTAAAGTGGGTCAAGCATCAAACTTGAGCACAAAGCTTGTTTTACCAAAGATTCTTGTTAGATTAGATGATTTAAATCTGATATGTGAGATTGATCATAAGCTGCTGGAATAGTAAATCTCCATAAGTGAGCTGTAGCTCAGGGAACAATGTTTTGTGTCTTTAGGGTAAATCAAACAATTTTCATAAATATAAATTGTATTTGGTGGTTGTAGGTCCTGTTTTAGATCATTCTTGTGCAAACCCTCCTTCATATTTTGCAGCAGAAAGACGAGCTCCGGTTATGATATTTCAGTACTTTTGTGAGAATTTCTGTGCCCTTGTTGATAAAACCAGCACCTCACTGGACCGTGACTGTAGGTGACTAGTTGGAGATACAAAAATTGTGAGAAATTTAGCAAATAGTAAGCTGAATACATGCAGAACTGACACTTTAGTGATGACTTTTATGTCATACACGTCCAGGTCAGCATGGGGAGTATAGCATAAATGCGAAGAGAACACATCATTGGTGCAAATCTTCTCATTACTATTGAGTCACATTTCTTAATTTTGTCTCATTTGGATGCTTATCCCTCCCGATGTTCTACAGACAGCTTGGCAGCTACTTTGAGATCACACATTTATTGAACATTTTCAAATTATTTGCAAGATCACGCGACTCACACGAGGAACCTGAGAATTCTCAGGAATCTTTCGAGACACTTGTGGAGCTCCCACGCGAACGCCGTTCTCAGCTTGTCACCAACAGTCATGCCTCAGGGATATTCTGAATGAGTTTGAGTTGTTGCACCTCTGAGCAGCTTTGAACAACCTTGTTGTGTCTCTTTAGGCTCCTCTTGCTAAGTTTTTGCCGAACAGAAGACAAAGTTCTGAATGTAACTGCTGGAATTCAGATTCCTTCTGTTACTGATGAGTTAAATGTGCGACGGAAGTTTGCAATGCCTAAAAGGCAGATCCTCCCCGTCAGGTATGGAAACATTCCTGAGTGTCAGCGTTCGTCTGTTCGAGACGGCCTCAGGGCAGAAGGCGAGAAGAGGGACTGAGACATAGTCATAATCTCTGCTCTTCCTTTTCTCTACGATTCTGCACCACGCCGACCGTGTATTCATGCATCTGTCGTTTAAGGAGTCTGCTTTAGTCATCAAGTCGATCTAAACGTTTTCATCTATAAAAACTTGTGATGGGCTTAACCTCCTGCTGATTCGACTCCCTCTGTGTCTTTTGGAAGAAGTTGTTTGAGTCTTTTCTTTCTGTGGTGGCATCGCGTCCATCAGCCTCCACCCTTAATTCATAAGTAATGATCTTGCAGCAGGCAGAGGGCCAGGGAGAGCAGCCGAGCAGACATGTTGGCCGGGGCCAGAGTCACTTATGCTTCTCTCTAATGACATATGCATCGACCGGCTCGAGGAAACGAACTAAAAAAAGACATCAGGATTTGGGAAGTCTCGCTTTTTTTCTGCCCATAAACATTAGAGGTTGTAGAACCGTTGATGTTTTAACCAGAACATCTTAAAAACGGATTTAAAATCAGATTTTTTATTTAAAGGAGTTTTTTCTCACACCAGCATTACAATAAGTACAATCATGATGTCATTTTATAGGATTTTATTTCAGTTTTATTTGTATTCGTTTATTCTTGTTCAAAAGGACCGATTATGGATTAGGGTTGGGGCGAAATAAGGTAAATGAGGTTGCTGCGCTGGATTATTGTTCTTCTACTTTCTGGGTGTTATCATCTGCTGACACAAATAAAAAGTGAAAGAAAAACTTCAGATTTATTTATTTGCATCCTGATTTCCAACCTTTAACCTTATTCAGATTACTTCCTGCCGTTTTGTTTTATGTGACGGTCTTCCTGGAACAGCTTGTCATCTTCTAACACTGCTGCCGGTAAGACCAAGCTAATTTATTGGCCTGCAATAGATTTGAACATCAACACATTTTATTTTTAATCACGTCATGGAACAAAGTGAATAAATAAGCAATGGCTTAACCTTAACCAGCATCTCGACTTAATCAGGTCGAAGAGGACAAGCTCTTCCAAGCTTGCTTTGATATTTTTAAAAGAAATTGAATTAAACAAGACGAGATGAAGGAATAAAATACAACAGAAGAACACTGTCCTAAAGTAATGTTAAAGTTATGAGAATTTTTCCTAGCGATAGGGGGCAGTAGATACCTGAATTGTTGCAAGCTGTATTTTTGTGTTGGAGTAAGACCTTACCAACGGATGCCCATTAGGGTCAAAAAGCCCTGGGGAATGCAAACTTCAACAAAATGACAAGCACACCAGACTCAACATGAAAACTCGATGTCATTTATCACTCAGCAATCCGTTTCGTCCCTGGTGCTCCTTTCACTAATCATTGTGATCAGTACTCACTCGTTAACTGACCGCTACCCCATTCCCGCAGGTCGTTACATTGGTATCGGTTCATATACAAAACAATCATCAGAAGAACCCCGTACCTTCGCTCATTACTCATCACTTGGAACAACCAGCACGATTTACGTTCCAATAACTTAATCACTATGGGTATTCCCAAAGCTCACACCTCAACGCGCCAACAACGTTTATGAATGGTTAAAGTTTAGCAACCGCTTGGTACAAATCAGTAAATGCATTTTGTCCTCAAGGGCTCCCGTAGAATGAAACATGGCATCTAATATGGCGTCGCCCTGAGACTTACCCCGGCTTTCCACAGGAGCCGTCAGCAGCACGTTACTGCAGCAGCACGTCTTGCTCGCGTAAGCTGCTGCTTGGCCCTTCCCACGAGACGCGAAGCAGCAGGGGAGCAGCTGTCACCGACCGAGCACGAAGTCACACGAGTGACTTCATCAGTAAACACAACAACAAGCAGGAGAAAACTACAACATGGCTCCAAAAGGTTTTTGTTTTATGTTCTGTCCGTTTCATAATCGCCAATACGGACCTGAAAAACAAAGGAGACCGCTAGCTAGGTGATAACTTCTCACGGGGCCGCACAGTTAGTAACTATTTTTAAAAGTAAAGCAACCGGAAGGCAGTACGTTTCTTTATTCTGAAAATCTCGGAAGCTTCTCTCCATTTCCGCGTCCAATTTCCTGTCTTTCCTTCCCCAAAAATGTCGAACTTGACCCTTTTCAGAGGCGTCACGCGTAGAAAATAGAACCGGCGCGTAAAGGCTGCGACATGCTGCTCCTGAGACGCGGCCGACTCGCGCTGCTGACGGCTCCAGTGGAAAAGGTTCTGTTGACCACAGCGGTTCCTATCAGCAGCTATGACGTGCTGCTGCAGTAACGTGCTGCTGACGGCTCCTGTGGAAAGCCGGGGTTAGATCTGCTCCCATGTATTTTAGATCTGATTTTTATGGTTACATGTGAAGAAGCTGCCTATATTTTTCAACAACTGAGCATCATTTAATTCATTTTCAACAACATTTTGATGGATATTTCCAGAGATTAACGATAAAAACTACACATTGTCCCTTTAACAAAAAGTCCTGTAAAAACATGACACATGATGCATCACCCTTCAGGCTGCTTTAGGTCACGTTTCCAGCTGATATCTGGATGGAAATATATTTATTGGAACAAAAAAAGCATCTTATTTCCTTACATTTATTTATTACTGTTATTGAAGCACATTAACGCCATCACCAAGGAGAAATCTTCTTAAATGAGCTGATTTTTCAAATTTGATCCATTTGGGGGAATGTGTGCTGTAATTAAAGGGAACCATAAATAATATTAATAATCATTTATAATATTTAGGGATGCACCAGCAAGTGATGGCCCTCAACACCACAAGGGATGCATTTATTATACTACTACTACAACAACTAATAATAATAATAATAATAATAATAATGATGATAATAATAATGATAATGTTTAAGATTAACATTTATTAATATTTCATGTCTCTTTAAGACCTTATTAAAATGATAGGGTGACTTTTATGTTTGTAGCTTGACTCCTTATAATAAAACTGCGGGTAGTAGCTTAGGCCTTTTTTCTTGTATCTTTGTCCAGTTTGCAAGCATCTCATCTTCACTAAAGTCTACAGATTTGGTTGGTTCTGAACTTTAGAATAAAGTCCCGTTAGCTTCTCCATGGCGACCGTCATGACTGACCGAGTCTACGTCACCTCTCAGAGCTCGTCTAGTTCTGACAAATCCATCATGTCCACCATTAACCTGACTTTGCTTCTGAAACAAAGCGGAGCAGCCATATTGGCGCGTACACATCACCCAGCAGTTGCATGATGTATGAGTTTCCCTGACTGAACTGTCCTGTCCTCCGTCCTCTCTCAGATGACATGGCGTCCTCAGTACCGCAGCTCCAAGTTCCGCCATGTGTTTGGGAAAGCTGCCACCAAGGAAAGCTGCTATGACGGCGTGCCCATCACACGAAGCGTCCAGGACAACAACTTCTGCGCTGTCAACCCCCGTTTCCTGGCCGTCATCACCGAGTGCGCCGGGGGAGGGGCCTTCCTGGTCCTGTCTGTCCATCATGTGAGTATCAACTCCTCAGTCAGTCTCCTGGAGGAGCAGCTCCATGACACGTGCTCTTCTCCCACCAGCATGGTTCTGTTTCACAAAAGTTATTTTAGTAAAGTTATCTCATCCGCTCATGTTATCGTTTAAAGTAAAGCTCTCCAAAGAAAACTTCCTGATTCAGGTGAATTTACCATTTTGCTGCTTATCTCCAGATCTGAATGCCTCGTTCTGAGCGCCTCCCATCACCAGCCTCCTGGCATGCTGAGGGATTACGTCCGAGCTCAGGAATGACATAACTCATCTTTTTGACCTCCTCTCCCTCTTTTCTGTTTCAAGGAGGTGAAGCTGCAGTACCCCCCCCCCCCCACCCCCCCACCCCCCCCAAGCCTCTCTGACTTTGTAGTTTCCTAGCAGCACGGCTAAGGACACCCTTTGCTCTACCTGCAGTAGTCCAGCCTGCAGGTGTGAGCGTTGGCTGAAAGAATGCCTCATTCCTACATAATTAACCGTCCCGCTCAAGCAGAACATTTCAAGTGACTTTTTCCTTGTAATAGGATCTTCAGATATGAAGGATTTGTCATTAACATTTAGAGTAATTCCATTTTCAGTTTGAGCAGTTTGAGGTTGGTGCCGTGCACACATGGACGGCATGTCCAAGCCTGCAGAGATCAACTCGTCCTGTTCAGCTACTTTCTCTTTCTCTCTCTCTCTCTCTCTCTCTCTCTCTCTCTCTCTCTCTCTCTCTCTCTCTCTCTCTCTCTCTCTCTCTCTGCATCTGTCTGACCTTTCTATGTTTTATGTATATATATTAAGGGTTGTTCAAACCCATGTTTAAAAGTTCTGCAGATTACTTGTATAGGAATAAAAAATAAAAAAAAAAGTCTGTTTTGGCTCCACATGGAGCTGTGGAGTCAGATAAATGCCCATAAGGGATGTTATAAGATTTACAGGTCTGAAAGTGAAAAGCAGGTGTGAGTTAGGAGACAGAAATGAGCTTGTTTTCTCTCGACTTCCCTCACAGACAAACCATGGCGCTATGTGAACATGTTCATCACTTTATTGGAGCTACAAACACGTCCTATAGGTAGTTCAGATGGTAAAACATTCATCCACCAATCAAATAAGAGCTGTTTTATATTAAATTATTCTCAGTAAATAAATGTAATGAAAATTATGTTTATTTCTGTCACTTAAATCATAAAAATACATCCAATTGGGATTGATTTGTTTTCTTCTAACCCTAACTGGTAAATGGTTATCACCCAGTTAAACCCAGCCTTCTTTGGAGCTCCATATCACAGGTGGACTTCAAAATAAAAGCATCTTTCAAAGATTAAATGGCTCACTGGAAGTTGAACTTTATGTGCCTGAACTGGCATTTTATTCTATTTTACAGTTTTCATACGATCCTGGTTTGTTCCATGACCTGTTCACCTGTGTGGTGATGTCATACTCTCCAAACCTTTTTAGTCATTATTTCCAAAATAATTGTGTAAACTCTTCTCACTCCCACTGAGATTTCTGGAATATTTAACAACCAGCTCATCTTTAGCAGAACACGCTGAGGACATAATCCAACCTTTTCAATTGGAAAACCTCTAAAATATGCAGCAATGTGCCCTTGAGGACCAGGGGCGGTTCTAGGGTGGGTCTAAGGTGGGCCAGTGCCCCCCCATTCTGCCCCCCCAATGAAGTTTGAATGAATTTTGATATTTTTGTGATAATTTTGCTCAATGCAAGATGTGGAATCAAAGTATGAATGATAAAATGAATTTATTTGCGCTTTAAAAGAGAAGCTGAGACAAAAACTTTCATGTTGTTACTGAGACAGATAACCAAGATATCAAAGTACTTTTGCAAAATAGTTGTGAAATTTTAATTTCTGGCTGTAGATACATCCGAAATCTTTACATTCCCTACAGAAAAACATCATCCATCATGTGATGGCTCTGCTCTTAAGTCTTTACGCTGCACCACTTCTAGGATCGATGGCTGCCATGATGGAGAAGGACTCAGACATGCTTTAGAGTCAGCATTGAGAAACCATTAGCAGGATTGCTTTTTAATGCAATTTCCCCATTCAGATTTTACATCACATGTCCATCTTCCACAGAGAGGATTCCTCTCTTGGTATAAAAGGAGAACATAGATTTTAAACTGTCACTTTAACTGGTGTCATTCTTAACCCACAGATTAGCAGGTGATTTGTTTTCAGAATAAAGTGGCATAAAACCAGTAAAAAGCAAATCTTTCATCTGCAATTTCTGGTTTTAAAACGCTTGTCCAGGACTGTTTGCATAATTTTAATGAACCGTTTTTGTCAAGTAGCAGACATATAACAACACAAAGCATGAAGTAAAACAGTCAGAGAATTGATAAAGCTGCTTGAATGAGAAGCGAAACATCTTCAAGGAAACAAAGGAGTCCAGTTTCCTTCACTCAAACCTGCTGAGTGAAACAGAACATGATAAGTGGAGGGTAATAATGTATAAAAAGGTTTTATATAACTATTCGTCTTCTTGTTGGAGCCCGATTTTAAACCTTGTATGCTTTTTCGCATTTTAACCTTTAACGTTTTGATTGATTTATTTGTGTAACTTTATCTCACTTAAGACTAGAGTGACAAAAACGCCAGACAAGGCATTTATACCTGCTCAGTGGCCTAGTGGTAGTGTGTCTGCCCTGGTACTAGGAGATTAGGGTTCGATTCCTGGTTGGGTCATACCAAAGACTTTAAAAATGGGACCCAATGCCTTCCTGCTTGACACTCGGCTTTAAGGGTTTGGATTGGGGGTCAACTGTGGAGATGAATTTCACCAGAGTGATGATGACTATGAGACTTTGACTTTATCTTTATGAAATAATAATTCAGAATTAGGATTGTTGAATCTTTGACGGACAAACCATAAAAACTTTGACTTAGATTACGATCAAATGTCACCAGGTCCCATACGCTTATAAAAGTTACAAAAGAGCTAAATACTTTACCTAGCCTGGTCGTCTTCGGAATATGATTTCTAATATTTGTGTTTTTGTGTCAGACAGGTAAAGTGGACCCTCACCACCCTCGAGTATCGGGCCATAAAGGCAACGTGTTGGACGTCAAATGGAACCCCTTCAACGATTACTGCATCGCCTCCTGCTCAGAGGATTCCACGGTTCGTACACACACACACACACACACACACTGGAATCTGAGTTATGAGGAAGATGGTTTTATTGCCTTTCGAGTTGTCAGAGCGGTTTAACACAAAATCATTCTGACAGGACTCTAAAGTTTGTCCTGTTACTTTTCTCTCTAGTGGTTGTTTTTTTCCTTAATTTATTTGTTTTCTGTGTGTGTGTGTGCGTGTGCGTGCGTGTGTGTGTGTGTGTAGGTGAAAGTTTGGGAGATCCCTCCTCACGGCGTGCTGAAGAACCTTACGGTTCCGTGCAAAGAGCTGCAGGGTCACAGTCGCAGGGTGGGCCTCATCGAGTGGCACCCGACAGCTAACAACATCCTCTTCAGCACAGCTTACGACTACAAGGTGACACAAACCCCACCTGCACACCTGCGGCCCAATCTAGATTTGCTTCCAGCTTCTTTCTTAAATCACAAAATGAAGAGACTCTCAAACAGCTCCGGTGTGCTTTCACACACACAGCTGTGTTAAACGGCGTGAATTCCTTTGAGATATAAACAGAATGTGCTATTGTTGTGACCATTACAGCACGCCTCTAGATCCAGCTTCAGGCGTTAGCTTATTGACCAGAATGACATTATGGCTGATCATCTTCCTAGCATTGGTAATAAAAACGGACCATTAAGAGATATAATCTAGGTCGTAACCTTCCACGTTTTAAAAGTCTGGTTCAAACTTGTGTGTGTGTGTGTGTGTGTGTGTGTGTGTGTGTGTGTGCGTGTGCGTGCGTGCGTGCGTGTGTGTGTGTCCCTCCAGGTGATGATCTGGAACCTGGACTCTCCAGAGCAGGTGATGAAGAACCCGGTCCGGACCATCAGCCACCACACCGATGTGGTTCTGTCCATGTCCTTCAACACAGATGGCAGCCTCTTCGCCACCACCTGCAGGGACAGGAAGGTCCGGCTGATGGAGCCTCGCTCGGGGAACTTGCTGCAGGTATGCTACACATTAATGCGTGCAGTCATTGATCTTAGGTTGCTTCCACCTTTGAGTTCAGCTCAGGAGATCAGCACAAGCGTATCAGGAAGTAGCTTGTTTTTCATCCAGCTGAAGATTGAAACAAATTGTTTTTGTTTGCTAAAGGAAATCCAAACAGAGATAAATCTAGTGAGCTAATCATGGACTTTAGTTTTGCTAAATGAACTTATTGAACTTTAGAGTTTTTGGTCCGGTGTTGTAGGAGCCTCACAGCCGGGTGTTAGCTGGAGTCTCCATGGCTGCAGCACCGCGGCACTCATCCAGCACCACACAGCCAAAACTGACACCTTAGTCCTGGCCTGGATCACAGCGGGCTGCTCAGACCTCTGGGTCAGCAGCCACTGAAGCACACCCACTTTTAATTTAGTCCGCTGTCACTTTCTGTTGAACACTTTTGCTCAGAGACAATAAAACGCCGCAGCAGAAAAATAGATATTTTTATTTTATTTTAAACCTGTTGTGTGGAGATGTTTTCACAAAACAATCCATCATATTTACTTCAACCATCAGGTCTTTCAGATGGGAGACCTTCACTTTTTGTTGTCTTTTCTAACCCTTTTTTGCAGGAAGGTAACTGCAAAACACACAAAGCCAGTAAGGTGCTGATTCTTGGAAACATGAAGATGCTTTTGACGTCTGGCACCTCGCGCTACAACGATCGACAGATCGCTCTGTGGGATCAGGTGAGACCTGCTGCCCTTGGGCCCGTTTACAAATATTTATCTGTTCTGCTGCTCTGAGCTTGGGCATTTTCTGTAGATTATTCTTAAATACATCATGACAACTCAGACAAAACTGGCTTACTTCTGTTCTTGTGAAGAAATGTGGATTATGACTCGATTCTGCTCATCATTAGCTCCACGGGACCCCACGTTCCCTAAAGAGGACATCAGCTTCTTCTGCTATAATTCTGTTTGGACTCATTTATTATTTAGGGAGGCTGGATTTTATTTAAAATGTTTTATTTTGACTTGTTAAGAGACTTTTATTCTTAACTACTAGATATCCAAAAACAAAGATTTGTTTTTAAAGGGGACATACAATGCAAAACTCAGCTTTTGCATCCTTTTGTGCTGCCATGTGGGTCTTCACTGCCTCTATTACCACTCTAAACATGAAAGAAATCCATCCATACGTTCTTTGTCAGTGTTTGGTTTTAGGAATTATGTGCCTAAAATAAGCCAATTCAAAAAGTCCCCATTTGTGATATCACAAATTAGGATAGAACCGCCTTTCATGTGCAAGAGAGAGCTGCGGCCGGAGGAGCAGTGGCTCTCCCCAGAGCCCCCCTGGATATCAGAGATTCTCAGCTTTCAGCAGCCTGAGTGGGGGAGGGGGGAGCGTGTCCAGCTCCAGATTGTTTTCTTAAAGTGACAGAGCCCTGAAACGGCTCATTCTGGAAGGTACTGAAAATGCTAAGAATAAAACAACTGAAATAGCTTTATGTGAGAGGGATTTAAAGTTAAAGTCCCATTAGTTGTCACACACAGGTGTGTGTGCAAAATTTGTTCTCCGCATTTGACCCATCCCCTGGGGGAGCGGTGAGCAGCAGACACAGCCGCGCTCGGGAACCATTTGGTGGTTTAACCCCCCAATCCAACCCCTTAATGCTGAGTGTCAAGCAGGGAGGCATTGGGTCCCATTTTTTCAAAGTCTTTGGTATGACCCGACCAGGAATCGAACCCCTGATCTCCCAGTCTCAGGGCGGACACTCTACCACTAGACCACTGAGAAAAGATTTAGTGCAAAGAACGTTGGTTACGTATTATAACCCCAGATTCTATGAGTCTAGTCGCAGCCCTTAAGCTAGCTGCTATTGGAAGGATGATCTCAATTATTATTTTTCTTTGTAATTCTTATTTTCTGTTCTCTGTAATATACTTTGATTTTTAAAGTATCCTTGCTTGTTTTGTCTCCTTGTTTTAATTTACTGAACCCTGGTTTCATTGGTGATGAGATTTAGGCCCCCTCACCAGATACTGAAATCATTCCAGGTGTGTAGCTTCAGTGTGATGTGCAATGCTGCCATCTAGTGGACAGATAATAACTAAACCTCTCATCAGTTTACCTGAACTTGCCACAGTTTAAGATGAAATAAATTCAGAGTTGCACCTTTCCCCACGCAGCGCTCTGACCACACCCGGGAGTCTGCACTGTGAGGGGTGGGTGTGCATCGTGGGCGGGGGATTAAAGCAGAACATGGATTAGAGATGAAGCACTCAGTTTTAATTCAGCTCTTCTACAGCTGTGGATTAAAATGATTCAGTAGTTTCATATCAGGGGGATTTTCTTGTTTGTTGTGCATTTCATTTTTCGTAATCTTCGTGTGTGTTTGTAGGACGATCTGTCGGGGCCCTTGTTGCAGGAGAACCTGGATGGTTCCTCCGGGGTCATTTTCCCTTTCTACGACCCTGACACACACATGCTCTACCTAGCTGGCAAGGTAAATCCAAAACTGATTCATAATCCAAAATACTGCATCAGATCTTGTCTTCACAAGAGTTTCACTGTTTCACAGGGTGATGGAAACATCAGATATTATGAGATCAGCTCAGAAAAACCCTACATCCACTTTCTAACGGAGTATCGCTCACATGTACCTCAGAAAGGATTGGGTAAGGACCACACACATGGACGTAATTTTGGGGGGACAGGGGGGACATGTCCCCCCCACTTTTTCCAAAGTCAAATTTTGACCCCTGCACTTTTTAACCATCCAAAAACAATATTACGCTATATTAAATTGACACTGATTGAGCTCTAGGACCAAGCAGAAAACAACCGTTTGTGTTGAAGCCTGTTTCCCATCAGATAACTGTCCTCCAACCCCCCCCCCCCCCCCCCCCCCCGGGTCCCCCCCACTTCTAAAGTGAAAATTACGTCCATGACCACACACACACACACGTTTAAAAGTCTCAAACTTTAGGAAAAGTTACACAAAGTTCTCATGCGAGCTTCAAGTTTGGAAAACATCTGGTTGACGTTCCTTTCACCTGTAAGCAAATAACCCCATCAGTATTTGAATAAGCAAATCAGGTAATGCTGTTCATCCTGAGCAGGTGTACTCCTGTTCAGCTGTGTAAAATCTTATTGTTCTAGACACATTTACTCTCTCAGCCTTTCAGATGATTGACAGATTTAATGTGGACTCTATGGATATACCATTAGAACATCCATGAACAAATTCCACGGCATGTTTTAGTTCTGTAGATTTCAGAAGAAACATTTTATTTAAACTAATGCTGCTGCAGTTGCCTGGTTTGAATTGATTTGAAGCATTAATTTGTCTAGTTCAGGTGCAAATTCAAGGAAGATTCAAAATTTGAGTCAGTGTTAGCCAAGGAATGAGGCTTATAAAACAGCTTCCTGTGGTCATTCTTCCAATGGTGGGGGGTTTATAGACGAGCATTATTTAGATTCCACGAAAAAGAATTCCTGCATGATTGAAAGATAGCTTTTTACCATCTGCTACGATCTGACGGAAACACAGAAATAAGTGTTTGTTATGTTGCTAAAAGAAAGCTCTTGGGGGAAATATGATGGATGTGCCACAAAAATGACCAAAACAAAAAATGGCTATTAAGGATGTAAGAAAGTATCAATACACTGAAATATTGCAATATTCCGTGTTATGATACAGAATAGATATTTATAAGCTGTGTATTGGATTTTTTAATTGAGAATTTACACGCAAGCATTTCTTGTATTTCTTTTGTGCAGTGCAATTAAAACTCCAACCGCTAGGTGGCAGCAGTTTTTACTGCTTTCATTCTGACAGAACAATTAAAATGTTTCGATAACTCTGGATGTGTCTTGGAAGGGTCTGGTCTGATTTTTTTCGATTAAATTAACTATTAAAAATAGAAAATATTGTCTTCCTTTTAGTATCACAATATCTCTAATCATCTCCCCTGATATGTCTTATCGCCAAAGTCTCCTCCCTTTTCAGTCAGCTCATGGGTCCCCAGAAGAACGAAAGAATGAATGCAGGTCAACGGGGCTAAAAACGTTATTTTCGAATAGGGATGCACCGATACCGATACTGGTATCGGTAAAAGTTAACCAATACCAGGAACCAATACCAATGCAGTTGCTTGAAAATGGCTTCACTGTAACTTTTCATTTCTGTTCACCTAATATTTTAGTTTTGTGATGATTTCCATTCATATATTTTACTTTTTATCTACCTCACAGTCTTTTCCTGTTGAAAGCAGAGAAGAAAATAAAATCTGTATTCCAAATCATTGCATTTTTTTGTGTGGTGGAAGTATAGGTATCGGTAATCGGTATCGGCGAATATTCAGATCCAAGTATCGGTATTGTATAAGTTTGGAAAAAAGTGGTATCGGTGCATCCCTATTTTCGAAGCCTCTTTGCCTTAGGCCCTGGATCGCACATATGTTGTACTGCAATTTAAATGAAAAGTAATGATGGGTGTTTCGACCACACCAGTCACGTACTCAGCTTGTAACAGTTTGTAATTAGCATGACTACACACCAGGAATCGGCACGTTGCATATGTTACTTCACCACATAATCTCCTCCCCCCACCATAGCTGCTACTTACCAAAAGACCAGATTTATGGTGGTTCTTTCCTCCTGTGGGAAGTTTGCATAATTTACAGCCCTTTTCCCTCAGTTTTCTCCGTGTCTGGTTCGATGATGTTACTTTCGTGAAGCGCATTTGTAGTCCTGGACTTATTTTCACACAAAACCTAAGATAGTGTTTCCCCTGTTCAAAAATAAGTGCGTTCTTGGTATCAAAATGTGTCTTTAAAATTCACGGACATCATATGTAAAATGCATGGCACAAAACAGGTGTAATTGGAAATAATGTTTTTAGCCCCGTTGACTTGCATTCATTTTTTCGTTCTTCTGGGGACCCATGATGCGGAAGTAGATGGGCGTGACTTAGGCTCCCTATACACACCCCTAGAGGCTATGTTTCATACAAATGACCATTATTAATATTATTAATAAATGTAGTGTTGTACAAGTGCACAAGCTTAAAATGGAGCAATATATTCACCAAGGAACTCAATGGGGTCACACTGAGGTCAAGTAAAGCGTTTTATGCCTTCTTCCAGGTGTGATGCCAAAGAGAGGTCTAGATGTGAGTTCCTGTGAGGTTTTCAGGTTCTACAAACTGGTGACCATTAAGAGTCTCATCGAGCCTCTGTCAATGATTGTACCCCGCAGGGTAAGAGCTGAACCGTTTAAACCAAACAACAAACACACCCTCTTTATGGGCTTGAATTTAATGGGACACCTGCTTGTGGACCTGTCTTTGTAGTCGGAGTCATACCAAGAGGACATCTATCCGATGACGGCTGGAAACAGGCCAGCTCTAACTGCGGACGAGTGGCTCAAAGGCATCAACAAAGGTCAGTGTGTGAGACACTTTCAGGTAGATTAAGCTGTTCATCTGTTTTTGATTAACTTGTTGAAACTGAATGTTTGTTTTTTTCTGCTGTTGAGCAGGAAAAGACTATTATAATGAACATTTTGTGTTGTTTTTTTTCTAAAAAAAACCGAGATCCTCACATTTCTCCTGTCTTTGTAGGTCCATTGTTGATATCACTGAAGCCTGGAAGTGAACTACCGGAGTCTCAGTTAGAGACAAATGGGCTGAGTAACTCCCTGGATGCTCAAAGGTTTCAGAGTAGACCGGGAAATCTGCAGCTCTCATACATTCAGGACCAACTAGAAGCCAAAGACATCCAAAAAGGGCGCCCCGAGGACGACAGGAGTCGAACAGCTGTGAGCAACAAGGAGGACCTCGCTCTGTGCTCACCTCCCAGGACAGAGAATGAGGTACAGAATGGCTTTGTTTTCATACCCAAAGGCTATGGTCAATAATAACCATATTAATACAATTTTAATAGAAAATAAAATTTAAATATGTCAGATAGTTCAGTTCTACCCCCCTATTGTTTTATCCACTTATGACACTGCCACCTCTGTATTAACAAACTGGCATCCTGTTTGAAAAACTCACATCTGTACATTATCAGATAAAATCGTTTTTTGTCCATTATTGCCAAAAGTTTTTTTTATTTTTCATGTTTTATTTACCTACAAGAAAATCGTACTTACCCTGTTTTGACCTTTCTCAGTGGCCTAGTGGTAGAGTGTCCGCCCTGAGACTGGGAGATCAGGGGTTCGACTCCTGGTCGGGTCATACCAAAGACTTTGAAAAAAATGGGACCCAATGCCTCCCTGCTTGACACTCAGCATTAAGGGGTTGGATTGGGGGGTTAAACCACCAAATAGTTCCCGAGCGCGGCTTGTCTGCAGCTCACCGCTCCCCCAGGGGGTGGGTCAAATGCAGAGAACAAATTTCGCACACACACTTGTGTGTGTGTGACAACTAATGGGACTTTAACTTTAACTTTAGCAGGTCTAAAGACATAAAAAGCTTAAAGGTACAATAATTAATAATTCGACATTATAATAATCGCAAAACTGTCTAATGTCTCAATCAAGTTGGAAGGAAGGTTACTCAGCCGGCTGGAGGGTTGTCAGTTTTTCTCCTTTCACAAAGGCCAAAGAGGGACGTAGTCATTGTGTACAATCTGCAAGCCCGCGGGGTTGCTTAGTTTGCGCTAGCTAACATTGTAATTCAGTACTGGCTGGTTCAGCAGTGTTTTGAAAAGAACCTAAGTCAGTAACAGGTGCTACCAAGAAAATGTTTCTTGTACCCCTAAGAAGCCACGACAACCTATAGTTCTACTCTAATGTCGAGGAAAGAAGGTTGGAGACTAATGTTGAGCTAATAATGCTAATGGTGAAACACTAACAGCCAGCTCTAAAAATGTCTCAAACTCCTTTTTCAGTTACCAACAACTCAATATTACAATGAAATGTATCGTTTTCTCATCAACTTACTGTGTATGACCCGTTTACTGTGTTAACTCACGAAAGAGGAGTGAGAGTCAATCGTTTGTTTTGAAAATGTAACACAGTAACCAAATTTGACCACAGGATGTCATTCTTATTTCATTCTTACATCATGCACCTTTAACGTAAGGTTCTTTAAACTCTCGTTTGACCGTAGACCCTCAGCCGTAGACTGTAGGGAGAAATCCTTTTTCCCACATGGAACAACTACAGCATCTTTAGTCTTAGCATGTCAGTGTTTCTCCTTCTAGCATTGGTTTCAGCCTGTATGGTCACATTAATGCCTCCCTGTCTCTTCCTGATATTTCCCATGTCTGTTTTCATACACAGCTACGTCTGAAGTTTCTAAAGCAGCAGGAGGAGATCCGACGGCTGAGGGAGCTCCTCAATCAGAGAGACGTTCGCATCAAGCAGCTAGAGCTGGAGATCAAGAACGTCAAGAACTCTCAGTCACAAGGTTCCCTTTAAGTTTGGACTTCCTCACGGGACACAAACATGCATTCCTGCACAAACTGTTTCATCAGAGCCACCCGAGTCTCAGAAAGGTTCTGGCTCACCCGTTTTGTTCCGAGGAGCCCCACGAGCTCGCTGCACAGCATCGACTCGGATCGGGAGTTTCATTCAGTCCTACACATGGTGCACATGGTTGTGTTTTTTATGTTCGTGTACTTTTGGAAACTGCACCTTTTTTTACCTTCCCTTTGTTTTTTTTTCAGCGCCTCACAGCTATGCAAGTTTAATGTGGTTTCTTAAGTTTTTTATGCTTTTTGTAGCTGATTGATAAAACAATATTTGAGCTTGTGTTGACTGAATGATTCGGCCATTTGTGTGTCGCTGCTGGAGAGAGCATTTCTGTGATCAGAATCTATTTTTTATGTTTGGTAATTATTTTTCCTCTGATATTTAAACTACTGTAAGTGGGCGCGGTTGTGGTGTTTAACGAGTGTGTGAATGATAAAATGTGATCTGCCATGCTGTTGAGCAGAATTTCTTTTTGGCTAATACAGTTTACCAACTGTTTGAAAAAGACAAAATCTTGTTTTGTTTCTGCTGTGGAGTCGCTGGAAAGCCAAAGTACCTCATAACTTGTAAAAGAAGAAATTCCTACGTTTTTTTTAACATAAAGGTTTGCTGATCCGTTCCTATCAATTATCTATCAAACTCCAGCAGAATGCCATCTGCTGGGCTAAATAGAAAAAACATCTAAGTCCTTATGGTTCAGGTTGTGATATTGGGGTGTGTGTGTGTGTAGGGGTGTGCAGGATCATAAAAATCTGTATAAATGGGTCAAATGTAAAAGGTTTTAACAATTTATTCTTTTGATGTTTTTTAAAACATAACTGCATCATAATTAATCTCCACACAAGAGCCAAAATATAAAACAAATATTGTCAGTTTCAGTATGCACTTGCTCTACAGGTTTTCCATGAATCAACTTTAAAATTTATAGATGCTACTGTTTCAGTTATATTTTTTAAGTGTGTGTGTGTGTGTGTGTGTGTGTGTGTGTGTGTGTGTGTGTGTGTGTGTGTGTGTGTGTGTGTGTGTGTGTGTGTGTGTGTGTGTGTGTGCGTGCGTGCGTGTGTAACTGGCTTCATGAGAAGAGGAAGTGTTGTATGTAAGTGTTTGTCAAATAAGAGCTGATTTTTAATTTGTTGCCTTCAAGCCAAAGAATAAATTGTAAAGCTCAGTTTAATTATGTCCAGGCCCAGTTGTTGCTGTGTTTAACAGTGATGGTTGGTTCTCATCTTTGCAATTTGAATTTCTGCGGAAATACTATAAAAAATGAGTTCCTTTTAGACATTCCATTGAACAGCCTCAGTTTAGAGAAACAGATCAGTTCTGCCCAGGCTGAGGTGCTAACAGCTAGTCACTATGAGGCCGTTTACAAACGGCATTTCTGCCATTAGCTGTGTTTCCACCATAGAAGTTCTCGGAAATTTCTGAGAAGGTGGAATGTGACGGGGAAAATATGATGCCCTGCTGTGTCCAAACAAAATCAGCTCTTTAAGGACTTTGCTAAGACATCAGGTCATTGCGACCATTTCGGAAGCGAGGGGTGTCATTGAGCAGCATCAATAGAATGTAATTTATTCCATCGGGGCGTGGAGGGTGGCAGTGTGATGTAAAAATCACGTTCAATCATAAGTTATGGTGTGTTTTACAGCGCGAAACCACTAAGGGGTGTAAATGTTGGCATTGAGGAGGGATTTCCAACACACTTCAGTGCTGGGAGTTTAGAAATTATTTTAAAGCAACATGAATGCTGCTTCTTTTCCTTTCATTCTGCTTCACCAGCAACTCCAATTTTTACAAAGGCCAGTTATTTAGTGACTCCTGCCAGTGTCATTTCCCACTCAGTTACAATCACCACGGGTTAACCTTAAATCCCGCTCAACGAGTCTACCGCCCCATTTCGGTGTACATAACCCAGTTCAGGCACTCGGCTGGTCCCAGAAATGCCCCAGTGAAATCATAATCTGTTTTACAGAGTGCTTTTCACAACTATCCCAAGACACTTTTACAAAATGGAGACACACCCATGCCGTGAAGATATGGTAAAATTACCCAAAAGTCCCGATAGTGAAAACAGGCCTAAGGTGAAGCAAGTTTAAACTCAAAAACCTCAGCAGTTTATGTGATTGTTTAGTGTGACAAATAGCCACTCGGATACAGAATTAGACCACTAAAGTACTAAAGTATGGAGCCTTTAGAGAGGGATGTGTGAAGGCCCTGAAAGGATCCAGGCTCATTGAAGTATAATACAAATGCAAACGGATGAGAGGAATGAAAAGAATGGATGAGAGAATCAAAAGCAGGAATGAAAGAAGGTAAATATGAGGATGCTGAAAATACAAAAAAAAGATGTGAAAATGAGAATTAGGAATAAAGGGGATGAGAAATACATATGAATATGAGTGATTGTGGATAAAGATGAGGGAAAGTAAGGGTGACGGCTGGTAGGGGTAAGAATGAGGACAAACAGCAGGATTAAAGGTGCACTATGTAGAAATGAAGTAAAAAATGACATCATGTGGTAAAATTTGGTTACTCGAACCACTAAATAACTGGAGCTTTTTGCCAGGCGTTGTCAAATTACAGTTGTCGGTGCTGCAGTATTAGCTCGCAGGGGACACAACAACCCCACACTCATTGATGGTAAATAGTAGTTACGTGCCTCCATCTTTTGTTTTGAAAGGATAAAAAACTGACAAAACCTAACCTGACCAGCCAGTCCCATGCTTGCTTATGGGAAGCAATGGGTCTGGGAACTCTTCTATTCAAATAATCCCAGCCCCTGAGAATTCTGAGGGGAACTTCTGAATGGTAAACAACTTGTCAGCTGATTAGAGGTGGGGTTTATCCTAAACCAAAGTTAACAAGAGAAATGTATACATATCTGTATAAAGATAAATGGAATTTCATCAGTAACAGCTTGAAGTGAAGGTTATATCAGATTATTGTAAAAACAATGTCTGACTCTTTGAATCCAATTATGGGTATACTACTGCAACCCATTTTCTAAACACACGTTCCATTTCATGGCTGTTGCCAACTATGATCAGCAACTAAAGATTCTAGATAAGCAAAGATGAGTTAAAAAAAAGTAGCAGTGTTTACCCTACGTAGGCTCAGGCTAGCGCTGCACCACGGCCACAAAATCAAACACCCTCCCCCCATGGAAACGAAATGTTCCATGCTCAACTATTACCCTTTTCCCTGCTTTCACAGCAGCAAAATGGTCCACAGATGTACACACACCCCTCGTTCTCATGGCGGACGCACGGCCGCGCACCACAAAAATTTCTAGGTGAAACACTGAGAAGCTTGAGGTATTTTTAGAGCCGAGTATTTGTTTCTAATTCACCATTAGCATCATCAGTAAAAGATGCTGCGACGTCTTAAGCTGTTTTTACAGGACCGTAGCGTTTGCAAAACGGGATTTGCCGCGGTTCCCTGGGGAGGATTTTGGCATTTATAGTAGCAAAGCTGAAGCTAGAATAAACTGCCATCAGGCACCTCTCAAACCGAGACGGGATAAGGGGAGGTCGCTGGGTGGCCCCCCACATGTGACGTTAAGGGTCGCGCATTTAGCGTCAGACACGTTGGACTGATGACATTTCTTTTTCAGGACCTTTAGCTTTGATGTGACCTGCTTTTTGTCCCGCTTGACGCCCCGCTCAGCCAGTGTTTTCACCACTCTGTAGAACAGCTGGCTGTCTCTCACCGTCCCCGTAAAAAGGTGACTTATGGGCCATTCCTATCTGTACCGGGTCGGGTAGTGTAGGTTGTTTACATATCTGGGTGGCCTGGTATTTTTCCGGGCCAACCAAGGCTCATTCTCAGCCCTCTTCTCGAGGGGGTCTGCTTCAGGCCGACCAGGTCCAACACACCCACTGCTGACAGCAAATTCACACCTTCCATTAGAGCAAGCCTCTGATTGGTGGGTAGAATCAGCCCACATGGGCTTAAGGCAAGGATGTCTGGAATCAACCGGGCCAGGCTGGGGCCGACTGGGGCTACCCGGCCCGGGCCGACCCGGTACAGATGGGAATGGCCCATTAATCTGTCCGCTCGCACAGCCAAAAGCTCCATGGTCTCCACGTACGTCCAGTTTGCCATGTTGTAGGTGGTTGAAAGATACTAGTGAGAGGCCATGTTTGTATCCCTTCTGGCCGGCACTCGGCGCGCAGTAGACGTCACTAACGCGACCACCCTCTTTTGCGGGGGGGCCTCCCACAGTCGCTCCAAAGGGATTAGTGGGGCTGACACGAGTTTAGCCGTCAGAGGCGAGGGGCTCATGCGGCAATATTATTACGAGGCTAAGAGCATCAGAATAGTGTTTTATCACCTTTCCCCTTTGCTGCATTTACGAGACCCACAAATTCGGATTTATCACTCTGTAATGACGCGATGGTCTGTCTTATAAAAGAGGCTTAAGTCTTACAAGAAATACCTTCTGGGTCACTCCTGTTACTGGCTTAGGATCTTTACAAAACATTGCTGCGTTTTGCCAGCCGGTGATTTACAAATGATGACATAGCATTTTCCGATGCAGACTCAGCAACCCCACAAGCTTCCAGATTGTAAACAGTTACTATGTGCATGTTTGGCTATTTTTAAAAAGGAGAATAACCGACAGCCCGCCTTCTCGCTGAGAAGGAAACCTGTTTCAAAGTAGCCTTCCTTCCAACGATTGTTTCATGATCATCTCACTGTAAATTTTACATACTGTACCTTTAAATACGTTTTTTTTAAACCCATCAACATTCCAGCTCTAAACTATATTCGGGACGTCTTGAAAAACAGCAGGAAGAGAAAAGAATCCTAAAATGTTAACATTTTATTTACAAAGTTGTTTTTTTGTCATACAGAAAGTAAAAATGTAGCTACAACCTTGATTTGTGCAACAGGTTGCCACACTAAAAACCATGGCCTGCTGGTTGCACAACTGCTATAGCAATAATTTTATTGGGAATAAAATGAGGAACAGAACAGAAAATAAAAATTAAAGACAAAAGAGAAATGATAAACCCAGCAACAACAAAAAAAGTAATTCATCCAACAAAATATTAAAAACACAGACCCAAAACTAGATACCAGTCCCAAAGTCCTCACACGGCAATACATAAAGAGGGTTCGACAGTGAAACTGTGGAATGCTGAGTGGTGGGCTGCCTGAGAACCTCTGGGGCCATGGGTGGGGTGGGGGTGTTAGGTGGCTCTCAGTTCCTTAAAGGGGAGAAAAAAATTTTAAAAAGAGGAAGGAGGAGGGGGCAGCTCCACTCGGCCCACCCGTCGTTACAGTCTTGCCCATAAAAAGAGCGCAGAGTGAGGAGGGGGGGTAGATGTGGATTACAAACGCAGTGTGAGTTGTTGGAGGGTGGACGTTCGGGTTTGTGAGGGGTAAAAAGAGGGGAGTAACTCGGCTCTCATTTTCAGTTTTGCTTTTAATCGTCATCTTCGTCATCGTCGTCCTCATCCTCGTCTTCTGGATCTCGCTTTCTCTTCTCGCCTTTGCCTGTTTCTGCCTCTGTTAGCAAAAAGGAAATCTGTTATGTGGTGTTGAGGAGACAAAGCTTGAAGAGACAGCGTATTTTCTTTCAATGGAAAACTCAAGTTGACTGGCTCCAGGTAACTGAACAGGGATCTTTGGACAAATTATGATACAACTTCGTTATAAACCAAACTTAATGGGCACACACAGGGCGTAGGGAGCACATCTCTCCGGTGCTGGAGTCTCTGCACTGGCGTCCTGTATTTTATAGGATCCAGTTTAAACTTGTGTTTATTTTTAAGTTGCTAAATGGTTCTGCTCCTTCTTATTTATCTGAACTTTTAGGAAATCATGCCCCTCCAAGAGCCTTGAGATCTGGTACTCAGAATCTCCTGGTGGTCCCTAGAACTAAGCTGAAGTCCCGTGGTGATCGACCCTTTTCTGTGGCTGACCCCAAAATGTGGAATGGACTCCCTGCAAATATTAAGGCTGCTCAGACTCGAGTCATTTTAAAACTTTGTTAAAGACGCATTTTTATGAGCTGGCTTTTAATTAGTAACAAATTAGGTATTTTCTAACTCTTTTAGCTTTTGTTATGCATCATTTTTTAAATTGTTTGTGATGAACATTTCTTGGGAACTGGCTTTTAATCAAGGATTGTCCTGAACATTTTGTCTCACTTATTTTATCTGAGTTTTTATATTTAATTTTGGTCTTTGTTTTACTTTTTATTTTGCCGTGTTGTGATCTGCTTTCTTATGCTGTGAAGCACTTTGGTCAGCAACAGCAGTTTCAGATGTGCTATATAAATAAAACTGACCTGACCATAATGCTTTAATCCATTTACAGTGAAAAAACACACGTCCCTCAAGTCTTTGGATCTAGAGCCTGGTTTATGCTTCTGCGTCGGTATGAAGACACTTATCGCCATTATCCGTCATTGCAAAGGCTTTCCAACAGGCACGCAAGGACAGAGGGAGTCGAGTCCAGTTTTCTAAACACCCGTCCAACGAGATGGAGAGCGCAAGCTTGTGATTGGCCAAGACACAGTTTCCTTTAAATTCTTTTAACAGATCCACCATAGCCCCATAAGAAAATACATACAAAAAGAGCTGCAGGTATCTAATGGCAGACACGGAGCAGCTTGGAGATCACCTCAAGGAAAAAATGAACATATCAGCATTTCGTCACCCGTGACTGGAGGAGTTTTATACATGAACGGGAATGACGAGAAATGTGGGTTTAGAAGTGGCGAGCGCATGGAGAGAGCTGAGGAAAATAATCAAATAATCGATGCATCGAGATGCGGACATAAACTATTCTGCAACGTAGAAGAGTACGTCATAATCGATTATAGTGGAATGTAGTTTTGTTTTTTTTAACGGCGGCACCAGCGCAGCATCCAAATCTGTCAGAGTGAGTGTCCTCCACATTTACCAGGTATTGTTCCGCCTTAATGTGGTACTGCAGGGCTGAGCGCTGGAGTAGTAACCTGAGAACAAACTGGTACCCAATCAGCCCGACCGGTTCTGTAGGATTTGGGCCGTGAATTACGTTAATTGAGCGGGTTGTCACACGGCCCGCTCCACTTGCTCGATGAGAGGAGAGAGAGACTTTCTGCTCACACAAAGAGAGAGGATCGGAGGACGCTCCTCCAAACATGCATTATTATTTTCATAACTTCGATTATTATTTCTCCTGGACGCGCTCAGTGAGGCCGAGTGTTGAGATCCGGTCTTGGGGAGGGGGCGGGTTCGTCTGTCTCTTTTATTTAGGGACACATAAAAGTTAAAAGGAGAGCGAAATAGAAGATAGAAGTTCTTGTTCCACTTTATTCTTTTGTTTCATGATGATAAACTGATGTTAAATCCATCTTAAAGAGGAACTGGGAGGAAGCTTTGGTTCATTTCAGGTTACAGGTCTTGTTTCCTATCAGCTCCTCCAGAGACAGCATGGACATGAGGGTCACACAGGACAGGTTAGTGGAAAGGTTAGTTAGCTGGTTGGTGAAGGAGATCCATCAGCTGGGTAATTTAATCCTAATCCAGCCTACAGCCTTCTGCTGGTGTTATTATCAGAAAGAATAAAACACACATCTTAAATATTATTGGAAGTGTAGAATTTGTTTTATGTTTTATTATTTTCTGCATCAAACAGAACTTGATTCATTCTCCAACATTTCAGAAACGAACCACTGGGTTCAAATAAAATAACAAACTGCATCAAACATTTCATTTGGTGTTATTTCTGACACCCTTCAACTGTGGCATAAACATCTGACTCTAGAGCTGCTCAGAGACATTAAACACTCATATGTGAACCCATTATGTATTTTATTATTACATTATGTGTCCTGTAGGTTTTCAGTATTTTTTCAGATTGTGAGTTTTTGCAAAGCGTGTTTTTCTCAGCCTGAGGCGTGGTGTTGAACGAGGAAACTGACTGTTTTACTTTGTTAAATCTAGGGCTGCAGCTATCGAATATTTTTGTAATCGAGTACTCTATCGAATCTTTTTTTCGATTAATCGAGTACTCTAATAAATTACCCTTTTGTGTTTGTAAACCTTTATATCATATATTGATGAGCCAAGATGGCGTCGAGTATGGCTGCCTCGTCGCGAGCTCCACCAAGTTCCAACATTACACGCTCCATACTGTACATTAATGCCACTGTTTTGCACATACCAACCTCTGTACATTTTATATCTCTTATCTTATTGTTTACTTTATTCATTTGTATACTTAGATGAGCCATTTTTATATTTTACTTGTTTTTACATTACTGTATTTTTGCACAACTCTGTTGCTGTGAAGCTCGCACACAAGAATTTCACTCGCATGTACTGTACCAGTGTACCTGCACATGTGACGTGACAATAAAAGTGATGATATCAAATAGCATGTTATAATTATGAAAGACCTCTTAAAATGAGCAAGCAATTGCCAGTTATTCTTCAAGTTTTATTCAAAATTAGTTTGCAAAACTTCAGCACTTCAACTTTACTTCACAGTAAACAAATGCCTGTGCAAAAAATAAGTAAACAACCTGAGCCGATTTTCCCCTCGTGTGAGAATCTGCTAGCCTGCAAGCCAGACAAAAACTAGGAGGATAACGCTGCGAGCGGCTGCGGCCCAAACAGAACCAGAACCGCTCACGGCGCAAACAGCTCGCCGGCTGTTTCCCTATTAACACACGTCCGTTTTAATTTACACACTTTTTTTTCTCACACTAACAAGGATTGCCAAAAGCATGTTTGCTGTGGTTTTGTCAAATTATACTGATCACAAAACATTTATTTACTTTCTTTCGTTTTCCTCCGCCACTCATAAATACCCGTGTCCTCCTGCAGAAACCCCGAGGGACAACAGACATCAATAACACAATAAAAAGTCCGACGTGTTGTGTAAAAACTGCTATTTTTAGCACATTTTAAGTCCGACGTGTTGCTACCAGATGTAAGGTGTGAGCTGAAACTGAGTGCTACAAACGAAAAAGTCGCAGAGTCCGCAGAATATATAGAAAAACAGGCTAAAAAGCATTATCTTGTAGAGGCTCCGAGTCCGCTTGCAGAAGTGACATTTACAGGTGCTGCAGCATGGAGGATGTGGTGTTGTGCTAGGCTAAATCCATTTTACTGTATTTATACTGGACTACGTTTTCCACCTTACGACGTGAAAAATGGTTCCATATCTTTGACATTTTCTGTCTTTTTCGCCCTCCACCGGGGTCTACGTTGTCCGACATGGCTTAAGAGAAAGTTAAGTTATATTCGCTACTCGCGTGTGCATTCAGTCCAGTGGGCATGTGCGTCACTTATTTCGGTCCGGGTGAAACGTGACCCCGGGCGATTGCAAAGCCATGAATTAATTAAATATGAATTAAACGAATCCTCGAGGCAGAGAATTTGACTCGAGGATTTTTTGTACTCGAATTATTCGAGGTACTCGAGGAATCGTTTCAGCTCTAGTTAAATCATCTTAAATGTTTAAATGTTTTGTCCTAACCTGTTGTGAATGGAGAGCTTTTCAGAGATGGCAGCTTGTGTCAATTACGTTTTTGATTAAAAAAATAAAATAAAATAAAAAGCAATTATCTGACATCTTCTATTTATCAATGAAAACAAATCAATATGAAATAATCGTGATGCACCGGAGCATCGAATCGAATTGAATCGTTGACCCAATAATCGTAATTGAATCGAATCGGGAGACAAGTGAAGATTCACACCTCTACATGAAGAGGTGGAGGAGAAGGAGGGACAAATGTGTTTGTGTTAAAAGGACTCTGAAACACAACAGTAAACACACCATCGTGGACTGGATAATAGAGGTGTGAATCTTCACTTGTCTCCCGATTCGATTCGATTACGATTATTGGGTCAACGATTCAATTCGATTCGATATCCCGATGCTTTACGATTATTTCATATTGATTTGTTTTCATCAATAAACAGAAGATGTCAGATAATTGCTTTTTATTTTTTTTTATCAAAAACGTAATTGACACAAGCTGCCATCCCTCAAAATCTCTCCATCCACAACAGGTTAGGACAAAACATTTAAACATTTAAGAAGATTTAACAAAGTAAAACATCTGTTTCCTCGTTCAGCACCACGCCTCAGGCTGAGAAAAACACGCTTTGCAAAAACTCACAAAATCTAAAAAGTACTGAAAACCTACAAGACACATAATGTAATAATAAAATCCATAATGGGTTCATATATGAGTGTTTAATGTCTCTGAGCAGCTCTAGAGTCAAATATTTATGCCACAGTTGAAGGGTGTCAGAAATAACACCAAATGAAATGTTTGACTTAGTTTCATTTGAACCCAGTGGTTCATTTCTGAAATGTTAGAGAATGAATCAAGTTCTGTTTGATGCAGAAAATAATAAAACATAAAACTAATTCTACACTTCCAATAATATTTAAGATGTGTGTTTTATTCTTTCTGATAATAACACCAGCAGAAGGCTGTGGGCTGGATTAGGATTAAATTACCCAGCTGATGGATCTCCTTCACTAACCAGCTAACTACAAACCTTTCCACTAACCTGTCTTGTGTAACCCTCACCCTTTAACCCTCATGTCCATGCTGTCTCTGGAGGAGCAGATAGGAGACAAGTCTCCTGTAACCTAAAATGAACCAAAGCTTCCTCCCAGTTTCTCTTTAAGCTGAATTTAACATCAGTTTATCATCATGAAACAAAAGAATAAAGTGGAACAAGAACTTCTATCTTCTATTTCTCTCTCCTTTTAACTTCTCCGTGACCCTAAATAAAAGAGACAGATGATCACGCTGCAGCCGCCGTCACTAACCCCGCCCCCTCCCCCAAGACCGGATCCCCCTACATTACAACAAGCAGTCTGACTGAGCGCTTCCAGGAGAAATAATAATTAAATTATGAAAATAATAACGCGTGTTTGGAGCATCGGTTTGGAGGAGCGTCCTCCGATCGTCTCTCTTGTGTGAGCAGTCTCTCTCTCTCTCTGATCGAGCGAGCGGAGCGCGCAGCACGACAACCCGCTCAATTAACATAATTCACGGCCCAAATCCAACAGAACCGGTCGGGCTGATTCGGTTCCGGTTTGGTCTCGGGTGACAACTCTAGCACTCAGCCCTGCAGTACCACATTAAGGCGGAGGTAAATGTGGAGGAGGCTCACTCTGACAGATTTGGATGCGGCGCTGGTGTCGCCGTTAAAATAACAAAACTACATTCCACTATAATCGATGATGGCGTACTCTTCTACGATGCAGAATCGTTTATGTCCGCATCCCGATGCATCGATTATTTGATTATTTTCCTCAGCTCTACTGGATAAGAGACAGGACACTAGGGATGTAAGAAAATATCGATATGGCAATATATCGCAATATTTTTCCTACAATATTACATCGATCCCCAGGTCACGGAGGTCTGAAGGCCAAACGTCTGTTACAAAGAGTGCATCTCTCCCTTGCAGAGCTGACAGAGAGGATGTTTTGCAGTCGGCAAACGAGTGTTTTAAAAAGAACCAAAAATTTAATTTGGTCTGTGGTTAATTTCTGTTATTACCTGGGCCACAGATTTATAACAAATAATAATGATATGTTTGTTTGTACTAGGCAACTGGAAAACTAAACGCTTTTTATATTAAAGTTGCCAGATGCCTACACCGTTCCCATGTCTGGTTTCCTATCAATCTGAACTGCTGAGCTTGACAGTCTGAAAGTTTAGAGTAAAATAAATAAAGAAATAAAATAAGGGATGCAAAATTATGGTTCATTTTCAATCGAAACAAACGTATCCAAGTTAAGGGCGGCTACTTGCTGAATGCGTGCGTTTTGAGTCACTCCTCAGGATTAAAGCAAGATTAAAGCTGGATAAACTTTTGCTCTACTTCTCTGCGACGGACCAATCAAAGGAGAGATTAACAAATGTAACTTGTGATTATTTTAAAGTCTAATGTGTTAATAAAAAAAAAGTAACATCCAAAGACAATAAGAGTGGATTCACCCCGAACATTTCAGTCAACATACACGTTATATAAATCTATCATTTGGTTTTTTTTATATTTAAACCAAAACAATATTTTCTTTGTAACCAATAAATGTTTCTGAATGCGTCACAAGGATTCTTTATTTTTACCCTTTGGTGTTTTATTTTGTTTTTACTGCACGGCATTAAAAACAAGAGCACCGATTTATGGCTCGACTCACCCTCTTCATCTTCCTCGTCGTCATCATCCTCCTCGTCAACCTCCCCATCTTGGCCAAAGTCCTCCTCCTTAGCAAACAATGTTTTACAAGTTAAATAAATAACATAAAGTATTATAACAACTTTTTATTTATTTTTACCTCATCTTCACTGTTGCCTTCCTCATCATCTTCCTCTCCTTCTACTTCCTCCTCATCTTCCTCATCCTCCTCTTCCTCATCAAAGTCCTCCTCCTCACCATCTTCATCTTCCTCCTCTTCTCCATCTGTAAAAAAAAAATTGGTACAGAATAAAGTTCATTTAGGTATTGTGCTCCAGTCTTTAATAAAAGATTTAGCTTCGTATTAAAAGTTGCCTTCTAATCTGCTTCACCCCCTACAAATTTAAACCTTTAATCCTGAACTACCTTCATCTTCTTCATCATCAACGCCATCTCCGTCCACCTCTCCATCAGAGTCGGAGGCTTCCCCATCCTCAATGTCATAGCCGTCCAGGTAGGTGAGCTGAGGCAGCAACTTGAACACACTCTCTCTGTAGTCATCAAGGTTTGTTACTTCGCAGTTGAACAGATCCAAACTCTTCAGGTTGTCCAGCTTTTTCTGGTGATCAAACACACACACACACACACACACACACACACACACACACACACACACACACACACACACACACACACACACACACACACACATTGTGATGAGAAGCTGCTACTACACCCAAAACCTTTGCATCAACAAGCACATCATTCTGGTTGCATTACAGACACATGCAGCAGCTTTTAGGGTTGAGAAGTTTAGAGAAATGCATCATTTGCATGGCTGTGCACATGTGTACACATACCAATGGCTCCAACGTGCTGATGTCTTTCAATTTGTTGCCACTCAGGTTTAGATGTGTGAGGTTTGGGAGTTTCTCTGCTAAAGCATCAAGGCCACCGCTGATTCTGTTGTCGCTCAACTCCAACTGAAAGTTAGGAACAAAAGGTGGGTTACTCCAGTCGACACGCTCCACAGATCCACACTTGGGGTGAAATGTTAGTCGTACCTTTTTCAGTTTCCCTAGTTTAGGCAGATTGGACACAGAAATTAAGCCAACATTTATCAAACTCAGGAACTCCAGGTTGACAAACTCAGCTGTGAGGCCTTCGATTTTCCCTTCGACTGATCGACAATTATCAAGGACGAGTTCGCGCACCTGAAATTTAAAAACACAAAACACAACAACCATTTACTTCTGTGTGCTTTCATCAGTACCACTGATTATGTATTCTTAAAGATTTCAAATATAAATGTACAAAACTTATTTTTATTTTAAAAAGGTAATACCTAAATAAGCAAATTGGGTAAAGATTTTTTTTATATTTACTTGCAGTGTAAAGTGTTTTATGCACAGACTATTACTGAATCACCATAATTTGTAAACTTAATATTCTTGTCGTTTTTATACACGAGAACTACACTTTAAGGAAACAAATTTAAAAATCCTACATTAGATTCAAATAATTTTAATATGTATTCAAAATCAGGAGAATTACAAGAAAACTTTGAAACTTGTGTGAATATTGGCCTTACAGACATGCCTTTATAAAAAAATATGTCCAGACAATTAAATGTTCAGATTTCTGTTTAAGGAAATTTATGCAAATCTGTGTGTTTAAAGCTCGAGGTCTCGTTTGCGTATTTACACAAAATACTGAAAAAGAAAATCGCAATTTTCAAATTATTACTTTCAAGGAAAACCCATCTAAGAAAGCTCTAGAGAAACTTTATCTTGGTGTAGAATGAATCTTTATTCTCCCTTTACTATCTTTAAATGCATCAGAAGCCTTAAGACAAAAGGTGTTTGTGTCGCTTAAAGCGCTTGTTGCGCAATCAATTGTTGGACCAAAAAAAAGTAGTCAGTCAAAGATGACGATTCCTTGTGTAAAACGCTGACATGAACTGTTTTTCTCGTTTCAGAATTACTTATTGTAGTTCATGCAGCCACCGCAGACGAGCCTTTAAACCATTAAAACGAGGAAGAGCAAAGCAGCAGCTTATGGCCTGCTGATCAGCCACTAATGACAAACGCAATGATTTTGGGAGCTAGCTCGCTACCGGCTAGCCATTTGTCCCTTTTAAACGCCGTCGTGCAGCAGAGGAGCTGCTGGAGAAGCTCTGTCTGCCCGCCATTAGACCAGCCAGCACCAACGGAAGAGATTGCGAATGCGCCCTAGAAAAGAAGTTTTTCCTTTTTTCGATAGACCACCTTTCGCGGAGAAGTGGAATATTCTTATTTGTGTTCTTGTCGTCGAGTGTACGTTCGATATCGCCAGAATTGTTAAGAGTCGCATTCGGGTGGAAGGAAAGAGAACGGAAATTTAGTAAAAACAAAGATGGAGACAGTTCCTTTCTCGCAGGGCTTCAAAGACGACAGAATGACAACATGGCGATTCCACCGCTACAATGTGCTGCTCTGTGAACGCTCCGAAGGCGGAATGACGTATCTTCAATGAGCTATTACAGTAGCTTAAACGTTACCAAAACTACTTTTTGATGTGAAAATTGATTTAACCCAAGTGACATGAGCGGAAGTGCCGACCGTGGACTTTTTGGTTGCCCACGCATGAAGCGCGGTGCACCGGATCTCCGTGTCACCCAGGCAGGCTGCCTCGGTTACAACGAAGCCGCTAGTCCTAAACATCGACTCATTTAGCAGCAAATGCAACGTTTAGCCACGAACACCACCGGGACATGGAAATATTGCATTTCACATGTAAAATTGTTGATATTCGGCTGTATCTGAGTGCTGAATGGAATGGGGTAATATGGCGGGAACAAATGTAAGTTAGCTGCTGGCTGATGGTGAATAATGGGAGCACCAGACTTCATTTAAAAAACACGCGTTTTTAGACTAGCACAGGTTAAAAAGCAGGCAGCATTTCTGCAACTATGCAAATCTTTTCAACGATGAGTATTGCACATTACCATCATAAACGTACATTTAAAATGTTCGAAATGCAAGTAGTTATGCATTTAGTAGAAACTGAATCCACTGTAAGGGTAAGAGTTAAGCGACTTGGACGAGATTTTAGTTGTTTTTCGCTTAATTTGACCACTTGGTTACAACCTTGACGCACTCAATTAAAGCCGTAAAGACGGGGAGAAATTGTTTTTATTGAAAATGCGTTCACTAAGTTCAATTTAACCGCCTGGGCTTGAGAAACCGTGTGATTACAAAAGCGCCGATTTTAGCAGTTGCGTTAGCAGCTAACATGGCTTCCGAGGACTGTGTGGGAATATTGCGCTGTGTGTGCATGCTCAACGCGGCGGAGGAAGCAGGGTTAGCGGTGTATCCGCGGTAAAATAAGTTTACTAATGAGGCTAAAACGGTGGAGCCGAGCCGAAATGTGTGCGCACCGTGGACCGGAGGCTGCGAAACGGTTAAAGCGCCGCAATAATGTCAGCAAGAGCTGGAGAATCGCCGTTTGAAAGTAACCATTGAATTTAGCTTTTCTCGTCTCGTTGCCCCCATACGCCCAGTCCACAACAGTATCGAGGATTCAGCGTGTTGTGGCACCGCTTTTCCACTGCGACTACAAAAAGGGAGAAACGAAATCTAAAAAACCCATGTGGTCACCATTAGCTTCACAGTTCACTCGCAAAGCAAGGGGGAGAAAAAGTGGCAAGCTAAAAAAGCACGACTCACATCAGACGGTGTCCTGTTTCTTAGCTCCAAGTGGATCCTCTTCTTCATGTCCATCTTCCCCGGTGAAAGTCAAAAGTTTTCTCTTTTGGATTTTGCTGTGATCTTCAGTCCAAAGGCAGATATGCCCTTATGGAGTGAGAATATAGGACCGTATAATGAACTGAGCCGAACGCCAAGTTAGTCGGAGAGAGGGGAAACCATGGAGGGAAACGGGACTGAAACAAAATATATGCTCAACAGCGCCATCTACGTCCAGAAACGCCCATCGCCTCTGAAAGGGCAATGCAGTCAGAAAACATGACGCTGCCCTGAGACGCTGCTGCTGCTGTGGTGCAATTTTGTTCTGCAAAGAAAACGCTCAAGTGTGCAACACTCGAGTTTTTATTTAAAGAAAAAAAAACACCAATCTACTTTTAACCTAGGGTTAAGCCTAACAGCTCAACACAAACCTCTTACTGCGAAACTTAGTTTTTGTGGTCCTTGTGTGATTAAAAAAAAGCTTCAAACATGACTCGAACCTGTTGATTTAAAGCTTCAAGTTGTGATTCAGATGCACAGTTTTCTCAAATAAACCAACAACTGTTGACTTAAAACTGTCTTAATCTTTTTTTTCCTGCAAATAGACACACTTTGGCAGGAGGGGTGTATTTAGTTTTCAGTAAAGAGAGCATTGTGCATGCAAAAGGGCACCCCTTTCCAACTCCACCCCTTTTACTCACAGAGAACATCAGAGCCTTGAAGCAGAAAACTACTAAACCTGCATGTGGAGCTTTCCTTAAAATGAAATAAAAAGACATTGATTAATGCTTTAGTTATGTGATATGTTGGATTTGAGTTTGCTCTAAAGCACTAAAAGCATGCTTTGGGGGGTGCTGTTTTTGTGGCCTGAAGATGGCATTGCAGTACTTTTTATTTGGTCATGACTGAGTCCTAGCTGCTTTTACTTTTCAATCAATGAGACTCATGCACACCTGGAAGGAATGATCTACAGTTCTGAGCTGATCAACCCCCCCCCCCCCCCCCCATCAAAATTTACCCAAATACAAGAACTTGACATTTTAATTGGAGCTTTTTGTTCATATCGCATGCAACAAAAATAGCATGGTCATGGAATGTGCTACTACTAGTTGCAAGGGCGTCAGTTTGTTTTCAGAATTGCTGGGGACAATAACCATACACTTGAGTGGGGTTTAAAAATAGCTGGGGACAATAAAGTAGGCTAGCGCAGGGGTCGGCAATCCGCGGCTCTGGAGACGCATGCGGCTCTTCCATCCATCTGATGCGGCTCTCTGTGCTTGTAAAATAATGAATGGATATTTAAATAAAATGCTTTATATTTTACTGCATTAATTTTACATCTGTATGCCAATTCTAAATGTAAAGATTGTCTGCGTAAACCTGAACAGGTCCAACCCGGTCTTACTGTGAAACCGGGTTGACGGGTCACGCTTGTGCGTAATCATATAGGCACTTTATGAGCTGAAGACAATGTGAGATTCTGGGCTTCTCCTCAGACGGCTCCTGGATGTGTCGCCACATTGGAGACAGGAACAAGCACTATTCAGCCAAAGTTTCATAATCAGGGAACATTTTCTAAGTGACAAGTCTCTCTGAGAGACAGGGTTTGGAAAACACTCGCTTCAGTGGGAGGAACATTCTCACATGCGCTCTGGGTGGCTCTGGGGTTAATCAAGTTTAATTGTTTCTCTTTGCAACAATCTTCACAGGAAGGCAAAACAATTAAACGGCAGGTTACATATATTTCCATTTGACTGTTTATTTTGACAGATAAACTCAAGGATGTTGCTTGGTTTGAAAGAATTACCCCGACGCACACTGATGCGCATGGATGAGCTGACATTTTTATCGTTAACGCACATCGCGGAGGTAAAATATTCCCATCAGAACATCAGAGCTTTATACTGGACACTGTGTTCAGCGCGGCTCGGAGCGCCCACGGTGGACAGTGAGCTGAAGATCTGGGGTTCGCAGCGCAGTGCAGAACCACGGTGCATGCGATAAGATTTCCTCCCACTGAAGCGGTCTGGAAACCCGGTCTCTCTGAGGGATGTGTCACTTGGAAAAATGTTCTTTTTATGAAATTATGAAACTTTGGCTGAACAGCGCTTGTTCCCGTCTCTAATATAGAGACGCATGACGCGTAGAGACATTTAATCACGCACAAAGTTTATGTGGAGCAGAAGCGGTCGGGCCACGGCAGGTGAGACGTTCCTAGCCTACATGAAGTGAAACTGTTTAATTGTAACATTAATGTGTTACTGGACACGCTGGTCTGGTTGGTTAGACCAGTGTTTGAAGTGGAAAACACACACACACACACACACACACCAATTAAAATAATGCTGATAGCATGGACTAGAAGCCAGGTGATGGTTTACGTATTTAAATGATGATCAGGCTGCTGTAAAATGTAATCTCCATCCACATCCAGACACTATTATACTCTATTCTTTCTCTATTTGCTCTGCTCTTGTCTGGGCTGATCAGCTGATGGTGCGCGCGGCGCGCCTAACTAGCGGCTGATGCACATTTTACACATTTGGAGAGGTGGGCTGGATGCTTTGCTTTTACTGGAAGATGGTCCACTTAACGCACGGGTGTAGACTACATATTAATGACAAATGAATGAAAATTAAACTGTGAGTTTTTACTTCATATTTTATAAATAAAAAGGACGGGGGAAAACATTTATGACGTCTTTTTAAACTAAATTTTCTAGCGCGACCTGCCTGCTTCACTAAGTCACTGCTTATTAAGGTCTGTCCAAAATTACTGTGGCACATGAGTAATAATGGCTCTTTGATGGGAACGGGTTGCCGACCCCTGGTATAAGATCTGAGCTGGTAAAACAAAAATCCTCATCAGCAGGCGTTTTTGAAAGTGGGGGGGGGGGGGGGGGGCACAGCTGCCAATCACAAATTTTGCCGGGGACATGTCCCCGGCATCCCCGGTTAAAATGACGCCTATGACTAGTTCACATGTTGAATTAATTAGATTAGCTAAGATAAAGACAATAAAAATTCTCTTACGAAATAGAATTTCTGCTAAGAAATCACAATGTAGCCATAGAAATGCTACTTGTTGTGTGTGAGAATGTGTGTGTGTGTGTGTGCGCGCGCGCACTCTGTCTTCTCGATCCCCAGTGAGTCATGAGGGATGGCTGCTCATATCGCACTTACACACTAGCATCGGCTTCACTCTGCCTGCACCGGGTTTGGAGTGTTCTCATTTAGGTAGCCTTGGATATTCCCAGCATGCAACCGGACATCTTTTCAGCCCTCTTCCTGAGGCGGTCTGCCAGGAGCCAAACTGGTCCAGTTCCAACTGATTGGCTGGCTCAAAATAATGTTGACCTTTGGGGGGAGCCTCCCATTGGCAGATCGAATCAGCCTGCAGGGTCTTCCTGCATGCGTGATTCATTATCATTCTGGATACTGTGGAGTTAACAAGCCTCTGACTGAAGCCATTTTTCTCTGTCACAGCTTCGAGTGCACACACACTTACACACTAACCCCTTCTTTCCGGAGCTGTCAGCAGCACGTCTTGCTCGCGTAAGCTGCTGCTTGGCCCTTCCCACAAGACGCGAAGCAGCAGGGGAGCAGCTGTCACCGACCGAGCACGAAGTCACACGAGTGACTTCGTCAGTAAACACAACAACAAGCAGGAGAAAACTACAACATGGCTCCAAAAGGTTTGTGTTTTAGGTTCTGTCCGTTTTATAATCGCTAATACGGACCTGAAAAACAAAGGAGACCGCTAGCCAGGTGATAACTTCGCACGGGGCCGCACAGTTAGTAACTTTTTTTAAAAGTAAAGCAACCGGAAGGCAGTACGTTTCTTTATTCTGAAAATCTCGGGAGCTTCGCTCCGTTTCCGCGTCCAATTTCCTGTCTTTCCTTCCCCAAAAAATGTCGAACTTGACCCGTTTCAGAGGCGTCACGCGTAGAAAATAGGACCGGCGCATAAGGGCCGCGACATGCTGCTCCTGAGACGCGGCTGACTCGCGCTGCTGACGGCTCCGGTGGAAAAGGTTCTGTTGACCTTAGCGGTTCCTATCAGCAGCTATGACATGCTGCTGCAGTAACGTGCTGCTGACGGCTCTGGTGGAAAGAAGGGGTTACACACACACACACACACACACGCGCACACACACACACACACGCACACACACACACACACACACACACACACACACACACACACACACACACACACACACACACACACACACACACACACACACACACACACACACACACACACAGTGCTGCCTGGCACAGCAAAGCAGGATGCAATACCAGTCAGATCTCCAAAAGCAAAACTGCTCAGGCCACTTTTGTTTAGTAATGGAGAAACTGCAGACCTCTACTCTTTTGCCCCACCTACATGCTCGAAGATGTGCTCGTGACGTCACTGATATCTAATTTTTGCGCCAATTTTGTAGCCCGCCCATGTGCTCAATCACATCCGCATTCCTAAGGCAGTGTGGAAGGTGCGCTGCCAGGCTTTGGCGGGCGGTGTGGAGTGGAGTAGAGCCCATGCTAAGTGGCAATACTGAGCCAGGATCCTCTGGAGGGTCTCCCTGTTAAAAGGCTGTCTTCCTCTCCACTGTCGCTGCATGCTTGCTTAGTATGAGGACTGCTGTGAAGACCCTGACGTCTGTCAGTGACTCGATGCAATCTGCTGGGTTTCTTATATCGGAAACCTTTTATTGACTGGCTAAGTGAACTTAACTGTATTAGAACGTTTACTTTGTGAATTGCCTTGACACGACTCTTGTTGAGATTTGGCGCTATATGAACTGAATTGAGTTTTATGAAAATAATAATTCAAAAACTCACACATAAAACACCTCCTACAAGATTCTGTGAATTTAAAAACTAATAAAATCCATCATTTTACATCAGCTAAGTGTTGTTTTAGACAGGTTCCTTCTTCTCTGACTTGAGTGGCTCAGGCTCATCAAGACTCAATGTGCTGTGAGAAGATTGAGAACACTCCCCAGCTGAGCATCGCTCCATCTGAGAGATAAGATGGGTATGCCCCTACTGTAGAATGAAGACAGGAATTTTCATTTTGTTTTGGGCTGTTTCAAAGCTCTGGATCACGCTTAAACTCCCAAGTGTGATTATTATTATGAATATGCAAATTAAAAATCAGCACATTGCTAATTGGAAAATTAATTAGTTTAAAGTCAAGCATAAAAACCAGCTAAAAACTCCTTTTCCCCCCAGTTTTTTATTTTTTTATTTTGTTTTATTTTTTGTTTAGGGATGGAATAAAAGTCTAGATGTATTTCTTTTAATGCACTAACTGCCCCTTAGCAAACATGTCTCTATTTTTTAAAATAGCGTACTAACAGTACTCTGCCAACTCCCCCAGCTTTACAAATATGATAAGGTCAAAGCTGCAAGAACTCTCCCAGCTCTCTGGTAATGGTTAACCAGATAATGCATCTGCAGGGTGGGAATAGACAACAGTCAAAAAGTTTTTCTGCTGTCTTCTCTCTACTTGCGCGCCTTCAGTTGAGTTCATTCATAGCTGCAGTCAGAATGGAGGAGAGCAAGCAGGAGCTGGAAAACCAGAATGAGGAGGAAGGTAACCGTGTTTTTTGCCTAAATGTGCAGAATTAGGTGTGCAAATACTAAATAAACCTTTAGGTGTGTGTTTGACTGCGTTTAAACAGTGTTTTCCTGTTTTTAAGGTGGAATCCGCCGCCGTCTGAGAGACAGGGACCTTCTGAGGAAGAGAAAAGCTGAAGCAGAAGAGAAGGAAACTAACCAGTGGGTTTTGGGGTAAATTTGTTGAGACAGCACCTTCAGTGTTTGCACATTTGGAGCAAATTTATTGTTTATTTTTATGTGAGACTCAATCAATGATGGAATAGTGTGTGTGTGTGACCTCACACACTTACATTTTACACGGTTTAAACACTATCAGCTCCATGGGTGCTTATCATTTCTTAAATCATGAGGAAATCAAAGGTTGCTCTAGACTAGTGGGCCTATTGACAGCCCAGAACCTGCTCAGGGACTTTGAACTTTTAGCTTTGCAAAGGTGTCACCTACCTCAGCGCCAGTGTCTACCGTTACTGAGTCAATCTGCTTCTTTCAGGGAGGAGAGCCAAAAGAAAAGATCAAGAGCTGAGAGCAAGAGCAGGACAAAGAAGAGAGGGCGTCCGAGGAAGACCGAGCCTGCAGAGCTGTTAGCAGCTGCCCAGGATGGGGCAGCTGGGACTCGGGAGGATCCTGCTGTAGCGGTGGTGCCAGAACCTGCTGCGGTCATCTCAGATCATATATCTAAATATCCAGAACCCTTTCAGGTTTTGGAACCACAATCACCTCCAGCCCCGGAGTTTGAGTCTGTCCAGAGCTCATTTTATTTCAAGTCAGCAGCAGCAGCAGCAGTTTCGGCCCGCGATCCTGATGTCGTTTCAGCTCCGTCCCAAGACTTCATCCCACCTGCAGCTCCTCCCCAGGTAGAGATCCTCTACACGGAGTCACAAAGCAGGGAGACACATGACCAGGTCCTGATCCAAGACTTGGGTCCAGATGACGATGACGATGAGGACACCTCTTCATCACAAAACACAAGAGCAGATGAAGGTATGGATGCAGGAATAAAAGCAGTATTTTACTCATTTACTCCAAATTCAATACCCTTCCTCTATTAATGTTGATCTTTTCTTTAATTTGTAGGTTTAAACAAAACACTTTTGATCAACATGCCTGAACAAAATAAAATGTTCTCAGTTCCAACGCTGTCCTCTCCCCCTCTGCCTCAGGAATACCTCCCCGGAAACTAATCGTACATTGTTCTTGAGTCGACTCTTCAGATTGTTGCTTCAGTTCAGAACATGCAAAGCTAGATGATGCCTTCATGCTCATGCGTTATATGTAGGTTTTTGGATTGTGTGCCTTTTATCAGGTAAAGAGAGAAAACACATTGTGTCAAAGCATTGCTTTGCTTATGAGTTTAAACCAAACCCGTAGGGTTATTTATTCTGAGTTGTGCTTCAGTGCAAAAGCTTTATGGATTCCCATTTTTGGATATTGCATTTAGTAAACAGCAAATTTCGCTTGCTTTATAAGGAATTTGTGATTGTAGAATATTTTTTATTGTGAATTTTGTAAAAACATTAAAAAATTGACCGCTCACATCATAGAATGGTTTTTATTTCTGTACCATGTACTAGATATAAAATTCCCACTCTGTAGAAGACTTTGGTTTTACTTGTTTTTGATAAAGTTAAAGGTGATGTATTATGAATTTTTCTTAAGTTATAATAGTTCTTTGGTCTATAAAAAACATGTTCATGAATTTCTTTTCACAGAATCATTCTCACATTAAGAAATGTCAGCACTATTTTCTAGAAAATTTCAGCACCTTCCAGAATGAGCCGTTTAAGGGTTCTGTCACATTAAGAAAACAAGCTGGAGCTGGCCACGCCCACCCCTCCCCTGCTCAGGCTGCTATAAACTGAGAAGCTCCAATATCTGTGAGGAGCTCAGAGTAGAGCCGCTGCTCCTCTGGCAGCAGCTTTCTGCTGCATGAGTGGTGGTTCTGTGCTACTTTCTTCGTTTGTGACATCACAGACTGAGACTTTTTGAAACTGTTTGTTTTAAGCACCCAATTCCTAAAACAAAACCATGACAGAAAAAAGTTGGTTGTCATAATTTTCATGTTTGGAGTGATTATAGAGGCAGTAGAGACCTACATGGCAGCATAAAAGGATGCAAAAAGAGAGTTGTGCATGTGTCCCCTTCAACCCTCGCAGGCTCAAAATAAGTTTTGATCAAAGGACGAACAACTAAGTCCTTCAGGGGTACTTCTGAGTTAAAAAATGCTCATGAAATACGTATGTGGAGTAACCAGGTAGGTAGGTTTTAACTGTTGTATATCTGCAACGCCTGCCTCCAGAGGATTAAGTTTTAACTATAGGATCACTGAGCAAATAAGCAGAAATGAATGAAAAATGATCCAAAAATATCAACCCTTAATGCTTGCTTGATTCGTAACATTTGTCATAATCACAAGCTGCCTTGTACTACTTGTAGACACCCAGCTCAGATCCTGGTGGAGAAGGTTACACACCTCTGACCCTTTTCAGTCTGGCTTAAGCAGCACTCATGACCTCTGAATGGATCCTGATGCATAAAAATGTTCTGTGTCGGTCTTCCTTGATCTCAGCGCTGCCTTTGAATCTGTTGACCTTGTTAAATAGGCTGAAGGGTTTCCAGTTTTCTTTTCATCTGACTGATTGGTCATCTTGAATCAAGACAGATAAGGTCTGACTCCGCTCTAACATGTGGAGTCCAACAAAGATCTGTTCCAGGCAATTATTATTTTCTTTTCATATTTTGGCATTATTTTTTTCTCATCGGACTTCTATAAAATGCGTCTTTTAATCACACCAGTTGAACAGGCTTTGTATCGTGCTTTTATTGTGGTTTTTAATGTTTTATTAAATACTAATTATGAGTTAAATATTAATTAGTCTATGTTGTACAGCTCTCTTTTTTAGCTTTGTCAGTAAAATGTACTCTCTTACATTTAATTTAACTTCTTCTCAACCTACACTGTTTTATTTCTACAAACATCCAATAAAGTTTATACAAAACTAAAGTTTCTACTTTAACTTCTTCTGTAGTTTTTATTTTTAATTTAACAAATTCATCTCTGTTCTCCCTGGAATTAGAAATATGCATGTGCTCCTTGCGATTCCAGAAATGAATGTTATTTAGCTTCTTCCACGTGATTTTGTGTGTACTGACAGTTAAACAGCTATTAGATGACTCCATATAGCAGATATGATAAACACATTTAGTTTATTTTTCTTTTATTATTTAGAAAAAAACAACACATTTGAAATAGTATTTATGTAACCGTGTTAAATACAATGGCAGTGTGGAGTCAAATGGTTGAGTGGAGACAAAAAACCAAACCCAGATAGTTTATAACTGACTTTTTATTAATGAAAGGGCTAAAAACGCCTTCCAGTGGCGACAAGCCAGAACCACACTTAGGTTCGTTGTAGCTTCCTTATCTCAATGAAGTGTTTTTGTCCACTTGGGACCAAGAATAATAAGGAGGATGAGACAACAAGGAGGAGGAGAGGGAACATTGTTTTATTTATTATTATTATTATTAGTTTAGTTTATTTCAAACAAAGAAAACATACATATTTTTTAAAAATACCACAAACAGAAAAAATACATATCATCCCTTCTTCTGTGTTTGAAAAGGAGTAGGCTGAAGTGGAAACTTATATATCCCTACCCCTTTATGCAAGTAATTTTTACTTGTTTACTAAATCTAACACAAAACCTACATTAAAACAAACAAAATGGTACAAGTCACCAAAACCCACCAAATTATATGGAAAAAAACAACAAAAGAAAAAAAACATCTTTTTACAATTGATACAATTTACTTTTCCTTAGAATAAAGAATTTACAAAGGTCACTTTGTAGAAAGACGTCTTGTAAATTCCTTCAAAATAAAAGGCTACTGCATTTGTGGTATTAGCAACCGGGCAAATCACGCTAGCAGTCTTTTTGTCTTAGTATTTAGCTAAAAACACAATCAAAATCATATTTGTTTAATAGTGTTAAATACAATGGTAGTGTGGAGTCTAAGTGCTAAACCCAGCTTGCTACAGCACTACAAACATTTCAATTAAAGGTGCAATATGTAAAAATATAGTGAGAATTTTACAGTGAGAAAATCCCAAAAGAGTCTAATGTTTCAGTCATTTTGGAAGAGAGGTTCTACTGAGACATATTTCAGATCCTGCTGGCTGCTGGGATTGTTATTTTCCTCCTTTCAAAACAAATGGATGGAAGGACCTAACTACTGTTTACCATCAGTGAGTGTGGGGTTGTCGTGTCTCCTGCAAGCTAATACTGCAGCACCAATAATGTAATTTGACGACAACCAGCAAAAAGCTCCAGAGTTGTTTAAAGTGGTTGCAGTAACCACTTTCACCACAGGATGTAATTTTTACTTTATTTCAGCGTAAAGGTTGGTTTATGCTTGACGCGTCCGCGAGGTCCGCACGGCTCCGCGTGGAAAAGTTGCGTCAATTTGCGTCATTTTAACAACCACGCCCCTCCACCGCGCCTCCGCACGGCCCAAAATTTCCGCAACGCACACCTAGGAAATTTTCTAACCACGCGGAAGGTCGGACGTGGAAAAACATGGCGGACCGGCAAGAACTAGTATGGCAGAGGTTCGTAAATACAGACATTTGTATGAGTCAGCTCTCAAAGATCACCGTGATCAGCATGTCGTTAATAATTCTTAGAGAGAAATAGCTTGCACTGTCGGAAAAGACGAGGACGCTGTTAAAAAATGCTGAAATGCCATGTTGTAAACAACAGTAATTTCTACTTCTACTATGGTGTAGTGTTGGATGCATGCCATAGAGCTCCATCCTGCCCTGTTCAGTTTGGGAGAATATTGGCTCACCGCAGAGACAAGCCGCATGAAACATAAACGCTGCGAGTTGTGAAGCGCGTTCCATCCGTGAGCCGCATCACCAAGCGGAAAGTAAATGCGTCAAGCATAAACCAAGCTTAATGCTCCTTTAAATTATTTTGAATGTGGACAGGATTTGTGCCCTCCAGTGGCGATAAGCAGGAACTACACTCAATTTAGAAGAGATGGTGAGATGGGGAGTTGGCGTCCACCTGTGGGGACAATCTGGAACTACACTTTAGTTTGGTTAAACAATTTTAAAGGGAATATTTTTAGCCTCCTTATCTCAGTAAAGCTGGAAGACAAAATCCCAATCATTGCTTTTGTTCGGTTGGTAATGTTAAGGAGAAGGACAAGAGGGACATAGTTTTACAAAGTTACAAAATTACTGTTAGAATTATACATGCGCTGCTTGCGATTCCAGAAAAGAATAGTTTGTTAATTTTGCTTCAAATGCTTGATTTTGTGTTTACTGAAAGTTAAAAACAACTATCAGACGACCTCATATAGCAGATATGACAAACACATTTTAGAGACTTCCCTCAGACGAGCTTGTTGTCACATCGAAAGTTCTGGTTGGCCAACAATAATTCTTCCGCTGTCGGTATGTACAACAGTCTATGGTCGGTACAGGATTTTTTTTTCTTTATTGAAAGATTCGTACAATCCAATCCAGATTATGTACAATTCAGAGAACAATTATTGGATACCGTGTACTTTTTGTACAAACAACAAGGTAGAACATAGTCAAGATAAGAATAGCAACAAATACATATACAAAAACTACATAAATAAATACATTAAAAATACGCTAGGGGAGAAACGAAAATACACGCGTTAAACCAAGGGGCAATTTGGTTGAAAGATTTTCATTTTTTCACAGATAGTTATAGTTTTTTTAAGCTTTAGGGTTAATAGACTTCGAGATTGAAACAATATTTTGTGTAAGTTCACAGGCATATGCATAAAACAAGGGACACGTTTCTAAATATCAAGATTAATGAATAAAAAAATTAGCCTTAAATAAAAGCAAGTTAATTATAAATCTAATGTCAGAGTTGAATTCGTTTTGGTTTTTGTGGATACCAAATAATACATACTTCCAATACAGATTAAAGTCTACATATATTTTTTCTGAGATAAATATGCAAAGATTCTGCCAGAATGTATTAGGGGACAAAACCCAGAACAGACGCGCGGTCGGTACAGGATCTGCTCGGGTGCAGGATCGGCTCTGGGTCCTTTGAATTTCCAAAGGAAAAGTAAAATATAAGCAAATGGTAAACGGTGACCCTCAAAGCTCTTGATGTTGATGAAATGGGGCAAAATAAAATATAAGAACTTTATTGAAAGACACCAAACAATATTTTGAATCAAAGAATGTATTTAGATACCAACTAAGGAAATATACAGACCAACTCCACATTAATACATACAGATGCTTCACATATAAGAACTGTTGTATTTTTGTCAGTCCCATGTTGGTTTTATGCAGTTTCACATTCTTTACAAAACAAAGATAATATGGTGTTTTATTAACAAACTACAATTATAAAGAAAACATTTAGGTGTTAACAAACAAGAATTTATTGACAAAACTGCTGACGTCTTTCCAAAACGCCGAGTAGATTTGCAGTAATGTGACGTCATCAGCGGGCGCTGGACCCCGAGCAGATCCTGTACCGACCGGTACCGACACCGCCTTGAGAAACCCACGTTACTTCTGGGTCGCACCGGCAGCCAAACGCTAACCGAGTCGGAGCTAATTTCTGGTATTTTTATTCTTTCATCGAGTAAAATGAGTCCCCAGTGTGAGTGTTGCGGTGAGAACATTACTAAGCTGAATCAGCAGGTTTCTGTCATGAGAACAGAAATAAAAAATCTGAGGTAAGTAAGCACCACCTGCCTCTCATTAAAACGGTTCATATTATTTGTACGTATTCTATATTTCCTCGCAGACATTTTAAAGTTAAATATTTAACATCTCCATTTTTTTAAATTTTGTAACAGGCAGATGTTGGACAGTTCTGTCAGAGCTCACCGGAAACAGCTGGCAGCTGTTCAGGCTGTTGTGTCAAAGGCTGGCTCTTGTGAAGAGGAACCGAGACCTTCACCACCTTCATCATCAGCACATGTTGCTTTAGAACAAGGTTTTTAACACACACACACACACACACACACACACACACACACACACACACACACACACACACACACACACACACACACACACACACACACACACACACACAACACACACACACACACACACAGTTTCCCTTACATAGCTGTGGCGAGCCGCCACGGCTGAAATACCACCGCCACGCCTACAACATCCCAAGTTTTATTGATGTTTTTTTTGCGCCGTTTCCCGAAGAAGCAGCAGGAACTACTGTGTTGTTGCTTGTGATCACAGCCGGCAGGTAGCAAGGAGGAGGAGGCACGGCAGGGTGGTTACAGCTATGAGCGTACGGATAAAGCATTTTTGACGAATACGAGCATGAAACGAGTGTAAAACTCGGAAATATCTGTAATCGTGCTGAATGAAATTCTCATTGGGTAACTGACTGTCTTCACGCTCTGTGATTGGCCAGTCCGATAGAGCGCCCGCCCCTCCCTACATGCAAAACTGCAGCTGGGAGCTCCGTCAGCTCGGTCCAGTCATCAACGCACACACACAGACAGTAAGCCGGGCGTGCACTGTGCCTTTTTCACTTAACCATATGGGCAACTGGGCAATTGCCCAGGGCCCACGAACTCGCCCAGGGCAGCAAGCGCACGAGCAAAATACTGTAGGCATGTCTGTAATCTCCCGCATTATATTAAACTAGGGTGACCGTATGTCCGGTTTTCCCCGGACATGTCCACTTTTCACTCTCTGTCCGGGCGTCCGGACTGGGGGTCCGCGGTCGTATTGATGAAAATGTCCGGCTTTTCATCCAGGAGCAGGGATCGAATTATGGGGGAGCTGTATATCCTACACATCCAGGGGAGCCGGAAACAAGTTTTCTATCTATATTACATCACTTATGGACTCTTCTGAGCAGAGAGCACAGAGAGCGGCACAGCGCGTTCTTGCGCAGCGCTCCAGGCAGCTGCTTCCAGCGCACGGTCCATTCTCAAAGTGGCGCAACCAAAAAACTATAATTAGCACACGATCGTTCATGTCCGCACATATTCTCTATTTTCTGTCTTATTTGTGCCTGAAGCGCTCTGCTGCTGCGCAGCTCATCACCTGTGCTGCGCGGTGCTGCGGTGATTTCACCTCACTGACGCAGCATCGAAACGCTCTCCGCTTTGCGGTCAGGAGATCCCTTTGATCTGCTCAAAAGTAACTGATGAGGTGAAAAAGTAAGAATCCTGGCAGCAGTTTTTTTCTGGAGAGTTTAGAGGAGATGCAGGAAGATGAGAGACAGACAGGACAGGAAATAGTTCAATAAAAACAAGAAAACAAAACTAAGTGTGGAAAAGTAAAATGTAGGTCTCCACTACACGTTTTTACCTGTATAAAACAATAAGTTATACACATGTCATATTTACACATCTGATACAATTCAAATCACCTTCAAAACTCAGTCACACACCCAGGGTCGTTTCAAGACATTTTGGGGGCCAAGGGAAAATGACCCTCCCCCCACCACCCCATAACTGGGCTCCCCAGAAGCCTCTGTGTAATTCATACCCTCTCCAGTAGTGTTAGTTAAACAGTGTTTATAAAAGCTCCTCAGACATTACTGACATGTTCTAATATTATCAGATGAAAAACTAAATTATCAGACATGCTGTCTCATCTGCTTCTTTTCTAAACTTGCAAAAAGTAACAAAACCATGTGAAAGCCACTATTTGTGGATTCTCTGAAAGTTTCCATGGAGTCTGTAACAACTTATTTTCTCATTGATCCTATCATCTAATCTCACAGCTGAAACAAGCATCCTTAATAATCTGTGCACAGGAAGCTTACCGATGCTGAAGTAAAACAAAAGGTATAATAATTTCTTATTAATAAAACCTTGTTGCAGCACTAAAGCAGAAAAATGAGATTTAGCAATAAATATGCTAAATATTTACATATGAATTGTTTTAGAGCCCTTTTATTGGCAGAATCTGATATTAATTTAGTTCAAAAACAAATGGGTCCCAGCGTGGTTTGTGTGGCGTTGCCATAGTGTGACATCATAGGCACAGATTCCCTGTCCTCTTGTTTGGAAATGGAAATATGGTCACCCTGTACTAAACAAGCTGTCCACCCGGGCTTTTGCGCTGCACAGAGACGCTTCGCTGCCTACGACTTTGAACGTCAGTTGAGAGTCAGTCTCTTGCAGACTGACCAATGAAGAGAGGGCCTCAAGTTAAGACCCTCTCCTCATTGGTCAGTCCACACAAGGTGGGTCAAAGGTTACCCTGAGCGGGTTACGTGATGTCAGGCATTCAAGTATTGAGTATATTTACTGCATATTACAGTAAAATATTCTGTATGTGACCATATTATGGTGATCCTTGGGTCGTGATGATGGGGCCCTTGAATATTGTTGCCCAGGGTACAACGAAGTCTTAATCTGGCCCTGTGTACAGGGGGTTACGAGAGGCGATTAACACCACGTGACCAGCTACCGATCAGCAATCGTGAGCTCGCACGGACTTCTGGAGTGTTTAATATTTATCTCGTTCCTCATGAGGGTTGAAGCGGAGCAGCGAGCGGCTGCGACCCAAAAAGTATCAGAACCGCTCACGGCGCATTCGCAATCCTGCATCAACACCGCTCGCCCGCTATTTCCCTAATAACACACGCTGTTCGTTTTTATTTCTACACGTTTTTTTTTACTCACAAAGATGGTCAAGAAAGCGTGTTTGTCGTGTTCATGTCAAATTAAACTGATCACAAAACACAGATTTACTTTCTTTATTTCGTTTCCTCATCCAACCCCCATAAATCCCTGTATGTCCTCCTGCAGCACTACCGAAGGACAACAGGCAAAACAAGACAAAAAATTCTGACGTGTTGTGTAAAAACTGCTATTTTTAGCATATTTTAGGTCCGACGTGTTGCTACCAGACGTACAGTGTGAGCACATGACTCGTGAGATCTACCCTGCGCTAAAGTCGTACAGTTTGAGCTGAAGCTGAGTGTTACGAGTGAAAAAGTCGCACAGTGTCCGCCCAGCTTATAATGTTCACTGTAATGCATCTTGATGTTCTTAACAAATAAATCAAATCAAAAATATTGGTCAATAATGCCAAATATGTAAATTTGTGTTTCAGTCATTTTTATACTGGCTTAAAAATACTTCATTAAGTCTACTAAGCAGGGGTGTAGCACGTTTTTATTAGGGCCAGCCCAGTAATGATCTTGGACCAAAATAAAGGGGGCAGAGAGTCAAATAAAGGGGGCAAAAGAAGATGTTTTTCCAGACGCCAAGAAAAATTAAATGCCAAATCCACCCTGCAAAGTGTGTCACTGAGAGTTTAAAACAGAAATTACTGTTACACCCCCCCCCCCCTCCCTCCCACCGCCAACACCACCACCACCACAGCTGGAAAAATTCCTAGGGGAAACACTGCACACACACACACAAAGCCTATCAGATAGATCCCAAAACTGTGTGAATGTGTTATTTTGAATGTAGGAATAGGAATGAAATGCTAAAATGTAAAATGTTTTGGAAAATGTGATACATGATAGAGTTAAATTCCAATTTTTTTCAAATGAAGTCATTGTTGGTTATCGTTTTGTGTTTCAGGAAGCATCCAGACAACGCCGATCGGTTTCATCATTTCCTGTTTTTCTGTGAAGAACGGGACCCCCAGGCAGCCCAACATCTGCAGCCCTTCCCGGGCAGAACTCAGAATCCAGCGGAGCGTCTTCAACAACCCCGAGCATGCTTTGTTGGGTCTGGATCGGTACTCACACGTTTGGTAGGTTGTTGGTGCTCAGCATGTGATGTGCAAGTGTCAAATGTGAAATAAAATAAAATAAAATAGATAATTCTACATGATGGGAAAATTCTGCATATGGAGTTCGCTGTGATCGAACAACAAATAGAAAATAGCTTCCTGTTCTGCTAAAACAAATCCAAAAGCCCAGACACTTCAGTCAGACATGATCAGTCCAATAAAATAAATAACTGGTTGATTTAGATCTGGATTTGTCTCACTGAGCTTATGATGAGATCAAAACAGGGCCAGTCATCTCTGAAACCAGAAAATGAGTAGAAATAATGATAAATTCTTGTTTTTTCACTCTGTTTACCTCAAGTGAATGAAGGGAAAAAGGCCAAATTGTTTCAAGTAGCCCAAATAATGCATAATAACCCCTATACTATAACTTTGGATACACACAATCCCATCTTTCTGTGTAGATGTTACTAATATTTTTATAATTTTCTGTTTGTAATTTTTGCAGGATAATTTTTCTCTTTCACAAAAATGGCCACCTGAGCTACAAAGCCAAAGTGAAGCCTCCCAGACTAAATGGTCAGCGAGTTGGCGTGTACTCGACACGCAGTCCGCACAGACCCAACGCTGTGGGGCTGACTCTGGCCAGGCTGGATAAAATCGAAGGTGGGTTTCATGAAATCTGCTTTTTTATTTAAAAGATAAGCATCTTGACTGTGTTTATGTATGAAGGCCCTCCAAAATCTTTATTAATATTAGATTGATGACCAAATTCACTGAGAAACCATTTTCTTCTTGCTATTTCTGAAATTTGTCACTCTTTGTTTTAGAGGCTAAATGTGAGAGTAGTCTTCTACTAGGGATGTCCCATTCCAACATCAGTATCAGAAGTAATTCGATATCGGCCCAAAAACACGGCATCGGATTATATCGGACTGCATCAAAAATCTCCGATATAAGCAGCCCATCAAGGTTCACAGTTTTGCAACCAATGGTTAAAAAATATTTCATTTTTTTCATACTTACTGTTATTTTCTCCTGTTCTCCGATTGAGTAATATCACTTGATGAAGCCTTTCATACATTCCACACTACGAAATAGGTAAAAGTATGTATGATTTGAGCTGATATTGTATCGGATTGATATCGGTATCGATCAATACTGAAGACTGCAATATCGGCATTGTATCGAAAATGAAAAAGTTGTATCGGGACATCCCTAACTTCTACCCCAATTTCCTGCATTAGCTGCCGATAGAAAACAGACGAGGAAACGCTCGGATTAGAAAAGCCTGACAAATCTATGTCACACTGAAAATTAGCGTTTATGCACTCACCTATCTTGGCTCGTGACGGGGAAGGCTGTTGTTGGATTAGCGTCCAGGAAACATTGTCGGTACAAGATCTGCTCGGGTGCAAAATTGGCTCGGGGTCCGTCGACTGCCGATGACATCTAAGTAGTTGATTAGCTGAACATGAACCTTACGGAATTACGTAATCACGTTACGATGTTATCACGTTACGTTGGTCCAGGCAAATTTTTCTGTTGGAAAGATGGACAACTTTTACAAAGAAATCCATCATTACCTCTTTGAAAATACACTTTTAGCATAGAGCTGCATGTATATTAGGGCTGAACGATTAACTGCATGTGCAATTAAATTGCGATGTGACAAAAGGAGATTTTCTAATCGCAAAGGCTGCAATTTGGCAGCGAGTGGTTAGCGCAATGCTAATATACGTGGAAAAACCCATAGGAATGCTAATGCTAATATCATGATTACATTATTACAAATTATGAATTAGAAACATGCCAAATAATTACATTTGGAGTCTTAATAGAAAGTAAAACTACCATCAATCAAATAAGTACAGGCAGGTATTTTATTAAAGCCAGAAAACTTTAAACTCCAGAGTTTTGGCTAGCAGCTAACTACGCATGGACAAGATGTCAAAAACTCTAAACAGAAAATACTTCAATAAACGGGACACACTTCTTTCCTGCAAATACAATTTCACAGGTGTTGCTAAGACCTATGATTCTTCAAGGGATGTGCTCAAAGAGGAGTTCAACATTATGAATAAAATAGTGTTTTATTTTACAAATACAATTATAAACACAAACTTACGTCTTAAGAAACATTATTTTAATAACGAAACTGCTAAATTCTTTCCAACAGTATAGATGTGTAGTGTATTTTGTCCGAGTGGGTTTGCCGTACTTTGACGTCATCGGCACTCGAAGGACCCCGAGCTGATTTTGCACCGACACCGGCAGAGAACATCTCGGCTAGTAGCAGCTAACTGTTAGCATTAGCGACTCCACCACACAGCAGAACTCCTTCAGGCTTGTGTTATTTGTGGAGATAAAACATCAAAGTTGCAAAGCAAACAGAGTCGTTGGCAGAGTCACAGTGCTTTTGGCCAATCAGAGGTGAGATGTCAAAATATCAGGAAATAAGACTCCTTATCTTGCTGTTTTCTGTCTCCCTTTCCTTCAGCTAACTTCTAGCTTCTGAAACGGGAACACCAGAGCTGTTTTACCACAGAAAGGAACTCCCTTATACTAGGGAACACTGCTAATATGTTGAAGAGACAAGTGAACTTGTCTTTAAAGTTTAGATTACCGTATGTTTCACATCCTGTATGTGTATGTATAGTATGCTTTAAGATGTTGTACATACAGCCTTAATTTTGTATGATGGTACTTCCAGACTAAAAATTAGTGTCCCTGTCAACTTAAAGAGCAGAGATGCTTGATTCCTTTGTCCAAACCAAGACTACTTGGTTACCCTCATGTCATCTAAATGTTTTGTTGTCTGGTTTAACCTTAGCTAGGAAGTTGATTATATCATCTTAGAAACACTGAAGCCTGTTTGATGATTTTGTTTTCAGGTGACACGTTACACCTCTCAGACATCGACATGATTGACGGCACGCCGGTCCTGGACATCAAACCCTTCATCCCTGAGTATGACTCCCCCGAGGTGCGGATCAACCCAAACCCACAACCGTCTGACTCTCAGACAGAGCCTTTGAACAAGGAGACCAACGTCTTAGACCTCAATGAGGATTCTGACAAAGAAGATGACGAGGACAGAAACGTTGTTGGTGACGGAAGGAGTCTCCGTCTCCAAAACCAATCTGAAACAGACGTTTCTTTTACTAATTCAGCCAGTGAACTTTGCAGAGTCCTGGAGGAGGTGAAGACCTTTGTGGCCCAGGATGATATGTCACACCATGATTCTAAATGCAAAAAGCAAGTTTCTGAGTGTAAAAACGCTAAACGATCATCGCGGACCTCAGACAATCTCTGTTATGGAGAACAGGACCGTGCAGCCATCGCCAGCTGGATCAGAGATCCTCCTGTTTCCTGCCTGGATGTGCGCTTCACTCCACATGCTGAGGAGCAGCTGGCACAATTCCTCCCTGCACACCTGTCAGGTATGACAACACTGTTGTTTTTCTCCACAAGAGGGTGCTATTGTTTCTGTTACACCAATATTTTTCTCTCATCCAGAACTTCGTGAAGATGGAAGACCCAGGTTTAAGTTTCTGCACAGTTCAGATGAGGCAGTTGCTGCCATCAGGGGGGTGTTGTCAGCAGACCCCAGGTCAGTGTACAGGAGAACTCGCTGCAGAGACAAACTCTTCTTCTTCACCATTGACACAGCAGACATCACCTGCTGGTTTGGACACGGTTTTGTTGAGGTACTGCAGGTGAGACCGGTAGGCCAGCGTGATGTGACTGTATGAATGATAAAATCATCTCTTGTTCCTCGGACATTAAAGAATGCAGTTTTATTACGTGAGTTTAACTAATAAAATTATTTTGTGAAATTTATTTTTTCCTTGCCACATTTTCATGAAACTGGATTGATGTTTATTATAAATTTGAACATGTGTGTAATGTTTGTTATAAAAAGATACAAATGGAAAGTGGAATTCCTCTCCATTCATTTATTTATTTTTTTGCCCTTTCAGCAGAGTAGGCTTAAGGCTGTTTTATACTTCTGTCAGCTCGATTGAGGGATGTCAAGTGTGCAATCAGTCACTCACTCACTCATTCTTTATTCATAATCCCCTGTAAGACAAAAACCCAAAACATCTGTGTTCCATGCTGAGAGGGCTGCCCCAATGGTTCCTGGTTGAAACAAGCCTAGGAAAAAAAAATGAATTAAGCATCCATCTAAACACAGCATAGGCGTCATTTTAACCGGGGACGCCGGGGACATGTCCCCGGCAAAATTTGTGATTGGCAGCTGTGTCCCCCCCACTTTCAAAAAAGCCTGCTGATGAGGATTTTTGTTTTACCAGCTCAGATCTTATACCAGGGGTCGGTAACCTGTTCCCATCAAAGAGCCATTATTACCCGTTTCCCACAGTAAAGAAAACACCGCAGCAGTCGCGGCGTTGTGGGCGGGGCCTACCCTCAGACAGCAGAGGGCTGCTCACAACCAGGTGACAGCAGCAGGTATCGGTCGCTCGCATGGACATCGCACCCGTGGGGGATTCAACACCCACACTTTTCCAGCTGTTTTGCTCACCTCCACACCAGTCTGGTTTCTTTACGTCACACTCACTCTGTTTGCCTCATCTCCTTCTTCACCTCCCGCTTCTGACAGCCGATGTCGTGTTTCCAGAGAGCAGGAGAGGGAGGGACGGAAGAGCTCGACTGAATTCATAATTTTACATCTTGAATTTAGCTGTACAAAGTCTGAGTTTGATAAAGTGAAGAACAACAATTTGCAGAGGTTTATAACAGGCGCGGTGCCAGGTTTTCATTTTTGGGTGGGCCACGGTAATTTTGGACGGACCTTAATAAGCAGTGACTTAAGTGAAGCAGGCAGGTCGCGCTAGAAAATTTAGTTTAAAAAGACGTCATAAATGTGTTCCCCCCGTCATTTTCATTTCTAAAATATGAAGTAAAAACTCCCAATTTAATTTTCATTCATTTGTCATTAATATGTAGTCTACACCCGCGCGTTAAGTGGACCATCTTCCAGTGAAAGCAAAGGATCCAGCCCACCTCTCCAAATGCGTAAAATGTGCACCACAGCCGTTAGGCGCGCCGTGCGCACCGTCAGCTACATCAGTCCAGACAAGAGCAGAGCAAATAGAGAAAGAATAGAGGATAATTCTGTCTGGATGTGGATGGAGATTACATTTTACATCAGCCTGATCATCATTTAAATAAAACCATCACCTGTCTTCTAGTCCATGCTATCAGCATTATTTTAATTGGTGTGTGTGTGTGTGTGTGTGTGTGTGTGTGTGTGTGTGTGTGTGTGTGTGTTTTCCACTTCAAACACTGGTCTAACCAACCAGACCAGCATGTCCAGTAACACATTAATGTTTCACTTCATGTAGGCTAGGAACGTTTCACCTGCCGTGGCCCGACCGCTTCTGCTCTACATAAACTTTGTGCGTGATCAAATGTCTCTACAGGAGCTTTCTGAGCTGAAGAGGCTATTCTGCCTCAGACTGGATGCGTCATGCGTCTCCATATTAGAGACGGGAACAAGCGCTGTTCAGCCAAAGTTTCATAATTTCATAAAAAGAACATTTTTCCAAGCTCATCCATGCGCATCAGTGTGCGTCGGGGTAATTCTTTCAAAACAACCAACATCCTTGAGTTTATCCGTCAAAATAAACAGTCTAATGGAAATATCTGTAACCTGCCATTTAACTGTTTTGCCTTCTTGTGAAGATTGTTGCAAAGAGAAACAATAAACCTGATTAACCCCAGAGCCATGTGCACTGCGCTGTACTCCTGACTGTAAATGAGGGGAAATGATTTAATCGGATCCTTTTCTTTTCAACATGGTTTAATGTAAAGTTTCATTCAGAACAAACTTTAGTTACACCGATCTAACGAGACAGAGCCTGGATTTGTATTCTGAACAGTTTAAACATGTTTAAAACGGAGACATGCGTGACGCGTCTGTCCGCACCTGCTCCGCTATTATGGAAATTAAACTAACAAGATGAATAACATGAACTTATTTTAGGCACAGACAACATCCCCCACACTTTTGAAAAGCTTGCAACGCACCTGGTCGCTCGTGTACGTCAAAGTTATCTTTCACAAGAAGATAATCAATAAAACGATTTATATAAAGTGGATCCAGAAGTTGTAGCCCGTCTCTGCCGACAATATTTTGATATTTTTCACCCTGTTGGTGGTTTTACTGAGCAGGTGCCACTTTTGTCACACGTTTCTTTTAAAAACATGTTTAGACTGTTCAGAATACAAATCCAGGCTCTCAGAACCAGAGCGCATGCGGGAAGGTTCCTCCCACTGAAGCGAGTGTTTTCCAAACCCTGTCTCTCAGAGAGACTTGTCACTTAGAAAATGTTCCCTGATTATGAAACTTTGGCTGAATAGTGCTTGTTCCTGTCTCCAATGTGGCGACGCATCCAGGAGCCGTCTGAGGAGAATCCCAGAATCTCACATCCTCTTCAGCTCAGAAAGCGCCTATGATTACGCACAAGCGTGACGCGTCAACCCGGTCTCACAGTAAGACCGGGTTGGACCTGTTCAGGTTTACGCAGACAATCTTTACATTTAGAATTGGCATACAGATGTAAAATTAATGCAGTAAAATATAAAGCTTTTTATTTAAATATCCATTCATTATTTTACAAGCACAGAGCATCAGATGGATGGAAGAGCCGCATGCGGCTCCAGAGCCGCCGACCCCTGTGCTAGCCTATATTGTCCCCAGCAATTTTTAAACCCCACTCAAGTGTATGGTTATTGTCCCCAGCAATTCTGAAAACAAACTGACGCCCTTGAAACACAGTGCTTGAAGCAGTCAGGGTTCAGTCCCACCTTTCTTCTGGACGTGTATCTTCAATGACTCTCAATGGAACTTCCTGGTTAAACAAACCTGAAACGTGGATAGTTTGGGGGGAAAAAACACTACAGGATTTTGAATGTGTAGATGAGTAAATGCTAAAATTCTAATGCAATGCATAACAACCAGTACTCAAAAGACGATATTAAGGCACAGATCAAGTTTTTTTTTCCCGTAATAAAAATTTCTGACACTGACACGTGAAAAACAATTATCTTTTGTTACATTTATCTCCTGTAGGTGGCAGCACCGATGCGAATGACTCCGCGTGTTTCTTTAAATGCGTTAGAAGAAGAAGAAGAAATGGTCCAATAGCTGCGCAGAGATTTGTGTTTTTGAACAAGACGCGGTTGACGGAGGATTCATCGATATATTTGAGATTCTGTCATCTTTTGTTTTATTATTATTGGTCGAAGTTTTTTAACATATGAAAGGTAAAGTACTTTGAAGAAGTGTAACTCTCACCCTCCAGCAGTTAAAGTAAAAACTTAAAAAGCAAGAGTTGGTTGACGGTTATTATCGGACACATTCAAGCTAGCTTGTAGCAAACTAGACGATAGCAAAACCTTTTAGCAATATTTTATTAGCCTTGTGCTGAACTGTAGATTACTAAATGCATAAATCGCACGACGTCTCAAATATTTGCTTATTAATATTTAGTTCTGGTCGTTTACTCCGTAATTCGTCATGAATTTTCTCTAATAAAGAACCAACTGACAGTTTAACCTTTTAAAAACGTCTCATAAAAAGATAAATACACTGTAGAGTGAACAAAGTGTTATTTAAAAACTAATTTTACTGATTCCTGAAACCAATCTGAAGCTAATTAAATTATGGTAACTTTTCACTTTTTAACTAGGTGAAAAGACATTTCAGAAACACGTATAAATAAAGATCATACATATCTCTCAAAACCATATTTCTGCTAAAAACATTAAATTTGTTTTCTGAAGCCTCAAGTTTAACCTGAGGAGAATATTTGTACATAATATTAGCTTTTAACATTATTTACAATAAAACTATAATATAAAGTGACTTCTATGAGTTAGAGGAATCATTCCAGAATGCAAAACACGATTTTGCAGTAATTCCGGTAAATGTCCAGAATTTTGATCATCTAACTTCTTTTTAGTTGCATGAAGAGTTTCTGAGACCACCAGAGAGGGATCTCTTCCAACATGTCCGGTTCCAGTCGGGAAGGACTAGTAAGACTTTTGCCTTGCACGTGAGTTTAACAATGAGAAAGCAATGGTTCACTTAACCTTTGTTGATCTTAGTCATCCAGCAGATACGGAGAGCGTACCCCTCTCAGGATCTTGAACAATGAGATCCTGAAAACTCCATCATGGAGGCTCCAGTCAAAATCTCAGCTCAGTGGTGACACGGAGAAAATGACAATGGTCGGTTCATACAACTTTTATTGATTTTTTAACTATTATAATTGTTGTTATTTTATGACTTATACAATATTCCCATCAACAGGTTGGCCTTCCTCTCTGTGACCTGGAGCCCCATTTGCAATCTTCTTTTTCCAAAATGACACAAACCAGTTCTCCTCCTACTGGACTTGGAGACATGACATTTAAATCTTTTGTTTGTGCTGGTGGTGAGGTTGAGGTCGCGGGATCTTCTGTGTGTGTAGAAGAAGACACGACTGTTCATTTGCACGCAGCTGCATGTTCGAGTGAATCAGAAGATCCGGTCATGTCCCAGAGCGTGGCCGATCAGTCGTGCTCTGATCACGTTGAACATCCTTATTACAACCGTAATGTGGACGAGACCCTTTCAGGCGTGAATGCGGTTTGCGGCTGGGACACTCCAACCAGCACACTCACCTTTGAAGATGTGGAAAACAGAAAAGACGTTCAGGTTTTTCAAGCTTGTCAGGCAGATTTCATCTGCAAGTCCTTGGTGTGTGATGGAGGTGAGGTAGAAGTTTCAGAAGACCCCAAACTACAAGAGGAGACCATTCCTCTGCCTCTGATGAACTTCAGCTGTTTATCACAACTCAACAGTACATATTCAGCTAACTGCTCTGATTCCTGCTCCCAGTCAAGACAAAAGGAACACACTGACCATCCCTATTGCTTCATTAAAACTCATATCTGCTCTACCTTTTCTGCAACAACAACAGAAATGGAGTCTGCTGATGGACAGAGTGGTCTAACTGGTGCCGGTGGTGAGATTAAGAATTCAGAGGGTGTGGAACTCGCAGATGAGACCATTCCTCTCCCAGTTTCCAGATGTTACACCGTGGAACCCAGCGTGACAGGTGGTGATGAGAACTTGCAAAATGATCATATAGACAACCCCAAAGCCTTATGTGGCAATATTTCTACCAACCAGCAGTCAGTGGATAGTAACTCTGAAGCTGTGGGAGCAGAACTAATGAGATTTGCGACACTTGAAAGACAAGATCTCACATCGGAGCGCTGCATTGTTTCACCTTCGGCTGGAGACGAGAATCTGGGTGATAACCAGGTTTTGGAGACGCCATCCCATCTACATCCAGATCAGGATGGGAACCATCCCCCGATTGATGATGCTGTGCTTGCTTCTCTTTCACAGAATCACTCTGAGCCAGCTGATAACAGTCTGACTGATTTGCCAGGTGACAGCAGACCATCACTGATTAACACATCTTTAAAAGCCGAGGATGAAGATACTGTTAAACATCAGGTACAGAACAGCTGTACAAAACACCCTGGGGATGATGCGTTGCCTTCAGTGATACTTAGAACTGTAAATCTCCAACCCAGCCAGTTTGCATCTTCAGCAGAAAGTCCAGTGCATCAAGATGTGCAGCAGATTCTGCGTTATGTTTCGTTGGTGTGCTCCGGTAGTAAATCCCCTGAGTCCTGTCAGGAACAGGATGGTGCTCTCGGCTCGTCGGCTAAGGATGCTGTTCCTTGTACCTCTACAGCAAAACCACCAGAGGTCCTCCCTGATGTTTTGAAAGTTCTTTCGGAGTGTCCCTCAGTAGCTTCCGTCTTGCAGTTAGGAATCCTCAGTCCAATTGTAAAGAGAGCCTCTTTGAATGTATTTAAAGGAAATGCCAACACCCCTCAAAACAGGTTTGTGTCTAATGATTCTGTTTTTGAGGCTGAGAAAAGCTTGATGGCTCCCGTGAATGTTGACCTCGCTGGGTTACTGACGGAGCACTTGGAAAGCCCCATGCCCCGCCCTTTGCTGAACTCCACGACTGTAGGTTCCAACCGTCAGCCAGCCTTGGCCGCCGATCAGGACGCAGATCCTGGGAAAATGTCTGAAGGTGGTCAACGGATTCCCGAGAGCCAGCTTCAGCAGCAGTTGCGTCAGATGGCAGAGTTCCTCCTCCTGGCGTCTGGACAGATTGGAGCTGTGGTTGCTTCTGCTCCACCTCCTGCTGGTCCCGCAGCCCAGCCACACACAGTTACTCCAGCAGCACCCTTCAGTGTCTGCGTGGGCACCAGTCCTGTCAAAGTGATGGACCGCAGCCTCAGTACATCTGGCATATTTGTGCAGCAGAGCAAATTCCCTGTGACTGATTCCTGCGCTGAGACTGACCCTCTTGTCTGGAAGTGAGTTCTCTTTCTCTGAATAGTTCTTGAAGCTTTGCTGCCTCTCACTGTTGTGTGATTTCAGTTTTCCTGTGGGGAGCTTGGAGGCCTTACCCAAAGAGGAGCTGGAGCAGAGGCTGATGTCCAGCATGATTATGGTGGAGGCTCTTGTTCAGCAGCTGGCTGCAGCGAGGGCTCACAGGCCTCCACCTGCAGGTCCTGCACCTTCAGACCTGAGAGAGAAACTGGTGCAGACGGACCACACAGAACTCAGCCAGGTAACCACAGATGTTTTATTTATTTGTAACATTAACACCATCATCTTTGATTTGAAGTTATTTGTTTGGTCTTTTTTAAAGACCTCGATGTTCAGAGACCTCTACACCGAGGCTCTGGACAGGATCAGCCAGCTGGAGCTTGATGGAAGTTCTCTGCAGAACCTCATCCATTCTATGCAAAACATCAGGGTTTCCATGGTGAGGCTGTAGAAATATAACACCTCCAACTTCAATCAAGAGAACTTTTAGAGCATCTAAGTGTGTTATTTATTTAATTTCTTGATTTCAGCAGTCTTCTTTGAGCGGCGACGTGGATGCTGCTCTCTCTAACATGAAAGAGTGCCGTGAAGTAGTCATCGAGGACCATCACAGCCTCGCTTCACACGTATGTAAACATTTCCTAAAACCTTCTTCTCTTGACATCAGGATTTTGTTTTTGTTTCTAGTTTATTTAATGCGGTGCCTTTGTTTATAGTATCGGCACATGGCGTCTCTGTTTGAGAAATCAAAGGAGATGCAGACACGAATGATGCTGAAGGTGAAAGATGCTCTTCATGAGAGGGAGGTCATGAGGAATCAGATGGAAGAGGCCTTCGCAGCTAAGGAGGCAGTGAGCACTTGTTTGTTTAATTCCTTTTTACAGTTTTTATTCCAAGCTTCTTTAAAGGAATCAGCTAATTATATTTGCTCCACATTCAGGCCTTCAGTGTGACGGAACAGCTGAGGAGACACTGTGCCTCAGAAATATCAGCTTTGGAGAGAAGTGTGGGGTCGCAGCAGGAGCTCTTGGCTGCATTAAACCAAACATATCCAGAGCAGGTGCACAGTCTAAAAAACATTCAGTTATTCTTGATTTATGAAATTCGACATCTAATTTATTTCTGTATTTGTTTAGATTAAATTAAAAAAGGCTTGTGGTGAAATTCTGAACTCAGCCTCCAATCTTTTGTCCCAAACCACGGACGACCACTCCACCTTAATGAAAGATGTGAGATACGGCATCCACTAAATCTGAGTAAAGCTTAATGAAGCCAACTTAGTTGTATAGTTTTTATCTGTAACCTATTCCTTTATCTGCAGCTCTGCGCGGTCAGGAGCCTCCTGCAGAAAACGGCTCCTGTTCTCCTCCGGCTGAAGGAGAAGGCAGCTGCTGCTCTGAGAGAAAGGGACGAGCATCTTTCTGCTAGAGAACAAGCCATCGAGGAGCGACAACAGGTCTGATGTTCGTGTTTCCTTCCTGTTTGCATCAAAACAGCTGAATTATTCTCATCATTTCAACAAACTTGTACCCAACAGGCAGAAGAAGAATTGAAGGAAGCTGATTTGAATCTTCAAACTGCCAGACAGCAGATTAGTGATTTAAATCTACAGGTGACAATTCTATCCTCAGGTAAAAACAAAGACCCGCCCGTTTAACCTAATTCATTGTTTACTGTATTGTGTTGACATCATATTCCCATTTTTATTAAATACCAGAGATGGGTGTTCTCCGGCAGAAGCTAACTGAAAAAGAAGAAGCGACCAGTCAGCTGGAGAGGCAGGTGACGGAGATGTCGGCTACCATTTCCTCCACCATGGCCTCTTACACCTTCTTGGAGCAGGCTCTTGATGCTGAAGTGACGAAGTATGACCTATTCAGCTGCAAAATGTGTTGGTGGAACACATCTGCGCCACATCTTTAACCTATTTGATGTTTTCTCAGATTGCAGCAATCCCGAAAAGACGCGCAGCAAGCTAATGAGAGAGGAAATCGGTACGTGGAGACATTGGTCAACAGGTTATTATTGGTTACAGTAATGCACCAGCTATTAGTGTGCTTTGTTTCTGATTGTTTCCAGGTTGAAGGCGTCGCTGGAGGAGTCCGAGCAGCACGTGTGTGAACTGAGTCAGACTCTGGCTCAGAGCCAGGACCAAGTCCATCAGCTGCAGACCCTCTCTCAGTCTCAGAGTGTCCAGATTCAGCAGCTCCAGGATATTTGTGCAAAACTTAAAGGCGTGCAAGAAATGAACGAGGTTAATGTGCAGATTATGCGGGTTGTTTTATTTTTTGCTGTCTCTTTTAAGAATTCAGAAATCTGGTGAAGTCTGAATTAATTTGTCCTCGTTTCAAAATAGATGAAATAATTTTGGACGCTGAGTTTAGTCGGAGACTAATTTGAGTTTAATTACTACAGAATTGTGCTAAATCTAGCAACAATGACGCTAAAATGATGTGGTAGAAATATTTTGTATGATCACCTGTTAGCTTGGACAGGAGGGACGTTAAAATGTTCAAACATACTGAATCAATTCACCTGGTAAAATATGGCTTTGCTATTTGAACAAAAGCACATTAAGCTCTTTTTGTTCCCGATTTTAAAAGCTCCTTTGTCTGTTTTGTAGGAGTCTATGAAACATGTGTTCCTTATAATAAAATGTGTGCTTGATTGTGGATTTTTACATCTGATTTGTCTACATTTGTGCGTCTCAGTTCTTGCAGATGGAAAACGAGTTGGCGAGGGAGCAAGTGGTTGAAAGTGAACGGCTGCTGAGTGCAAACCTGCAGGCGCTTCGGGAGAGGAACTTCGAGTGTGAGGATCTTAAAGGAGAAGTTTGTAAACTTCAGTAAGTTAATAAAAATAATCCTCCTTCTGTTCTGATTTGATCAGCGAGGTAGTCATTTATTAATTTACTACTACTTGATCTTTGCCTGTTTGCATATTTCAGAGCTGAGAAGAGGAGTTTGCACGAAGAGCTGGAAACCACAAGATCTGCAGCCGACACCGTTCAGATGGAGCTTGAAGAAAAGATGGCTCAGGTCGTCACCGAGGTCACTCTGACACATCACACGCTGCGACGGCTGACCGACGAGCTGCATGCTGCTCTCAGTGACCAGGTACAAGTCGTCACACTAACACAGACCCTAATGGTGTCTCACTTGCATAACTGATTATTCATTTATACTCTAGCTGTCAATCTTCTAGGCTTTAAATAAACATTTAGTATTAAGATGATTTATTTTCTTCTTAGAAACGAGACCCACCGAGAGGGAGAGCGACCGAACTGCTGAACAGTGTGGAGCATCGTCACCCCTCCACTTCCTTTGTTGACAGCATCAAGGTGGCCTTGACTGACAAAGAGGAGGATGTCCAAACAGAACCATCAGCAGCACCAGGTACTTCTCATCTTCTGTATGAAGCATTCTAATTCTTATTTTAAACACTTTTTTTGCTTCTTAAGATAGATTAAGGTATTATTTTTTTATATTTAAAAACTTTATTGGCAAAAAACTTGTTTAAACTTTTCAGCGTGCTGTAGCCACCAGTGCTCGTTTTTATGAATTTTTTTAAAATTTATATTTTCTTCAACTTTTATTTAACCAAGTAAAAAGTTATTTTGTTAAAAAAAAGATACAAAAAGGTAAAATAGAGATTTAAGACTCTTGCACAGTTATGCAGATGACACCCAGATCTACCTAGCTCCATCACCAGACCTGCCAACCTGTACGCTATTTGGCATCTATTTACGCTGGTACGACTCACCCCTCTAAACTACGCAAAAAGCTGCGGATACGTGAGTTGAGTTCTGTGGCAAATATGCACGTGTGGTACTTATGTCTGACAACACGACTCAGCGGCACGGTGAAGAAGTTTAAGCCAATCATCGTAGAAAAGCAGAAAAAAAAGATCCTGCCTAACCTATAGCGACCCCCCCCCCCCCTGCTTCGTCCTGCCCGCTGCTCCCTCCGTTTCGCCACTCGCTGCTGTTCTGGTAAGGTAAACTGTGTGTGTGTGTGTGTGTGTTTGCCTTTATCCATTGCAAATAGATTTTGTCTGTATAAGAGGAGGAATGTGATTATCTATACAGTTTAAACATGCAACCATTATTTTTTTTCGCAGCTAGTTTTTAAATCATGCTATGGCAGATGAGGGAGAAGCAGACAGGGAGGGATTGGTTAGCAGACCTGCCAAAAAGAAGAGGATCCATGTGTCTCAGAAGTTTTTGTCCAAAGTCAGGGGGTGTGGGTATGGACCCCATTCCCGCAATCCTGTGGCAACCTGCCCCCCCCAATTTTATTTGCTCATCAAACACTTCCACCAACGACATTCCACGCAAACACACTTAGGGCCATGGGCCACATCCAACGGCATTTGGCAGGGCGATCTTTCAGCCTCATCCCAAGTGCCAGTGCCCACTTCCAATTTTAAACTGCACTTAGACACCGAGGGCTGTGGGTGCAAGTGGGGTGGTGGCATCAGCTGGCGTAGGCCAGACGATGCCTGCACTGCCCGCTCACCACAGCCATGAATACACCTCATCAACACGCACTAACATTATATTGGAGCAGGCGGAGGGAGACTAGGGGTCTTAGCCACCTCTGTTGTCGCTTGGCTTCCTGGGGCTGGAGGCTAGGAGGGAGATCTGGCCGTCTGGTTGGGGTCCGGGGTGGTGGGTTGCTTTGCTCAGCGTTGGGCGGTGGAGCTTGCTCATCAGCACCCCAGCAGAAAGGGTCGAACTCTAGGAACCGGTAATGGTTGTACCCAATGTGCAGCAGTACCGGGACCAGAGTGAATAGGGTGTGTATGGGGAGCATGAGTGGGTGCCCGGCGTGCATTTTTGTATGTCTTAGGTTGTATGTGTATGTGTGAGCATGAGGGAGGGAGTGTGTGACTGTGTCTGTGTATGACTGTATATGTCAGGTGGGGCCTTTGACTCCTCCCCTCTCCTGGGACTCCTTTTGATGATATAGATCTTCGTCTCCCCTCCCCCTGCCACACCTGGTGTGGAGTGTGGTGCCTTGGTCTGCCTGAGTGTTCACGGCTCTTGGGTCAGGGGGTTTAAGATTTTTGGCATCTGTCTGATCAATCCCGGTGGCTGCCTTGTGGGATCTGGGTCCCTGGGCTCTGCTGGGTCCCCGGCGGGGGTGGTTGCCCCTGGGTCCCGGGTCGCTGAGTTCCGGGGTCGGTCAGCTAGGGGGTGGGAGGTTGCGGGCGGGCCTGTGGGCTTGCCGCTGATATCTCTCGGGACTCTGCTGGTTGTGGCCCCCCGGGGCGATCCTCTGCGCCTCGAGGGGGGCGGGGGCCTTTCTGGTTGCAGTCTCCCTGGACTCCCTGTGCTCTGGGGCAACTCCTGGATATCTGGGACTTGGAGCTCCCTCCATCTCCAACACATTTTTTTTGGGGGGGGGGGGGGGGGGGGGGGGATCTGTGGCCCCTCCTACTCTCTATTGGACGCTCCTATAGAGAACCTTACATAAACAAGCACGTGTACACACACAGGTTCTCACATGGTGCTCTCATAAGTATGGACTTGGGCCCGTTCACCACAGGTCTTAAGGCTATGGTTGGCACTAAATGCACTGTGATTTATTATCGTGTGATTGTTCAGTAAAACAATGTTGTTTTTATATTTCTTCATCAAGTTGACGCAGCGATAGCTTGCTCCTGTTGTATTGTTGTGTGTCCCTTTTCTGCAGTTCTAGAAGCAGACTCTTGATTGTTTATTTTTGTGGAATTTAATATTACATTCTTGAGAACAGAAACACCTATTGCAATTTACAAAACAAATAGTTACCATTAAATACATATAAATGCTTTTTTTATTAATTTGTATTGAAATAATTTAATGCAAGTAACTTGTATAAGCACAAATATTATATAAGGAAACTTTAGAGTTTTACGGTTTAATATTAAAATACATGATACTTTGGAGTCAGGTCAAACTGTAAAAATGTCAATAACCTTACTAGTCAAAATAAGAACGTGTGTGTGTGCGTGCGTGTGTGTGTGTGTGTGTAAAATTTTCCATCCAGTGAATGGGGAGATTACAGCGTGAAAAGCAAGAGAGTTGCAAAAATTTGCGAAATAACATCGCACAAGTGGTACTCAAAACATTTTTGACAAGGTTGGCAGGTCTGCATCACCTAGTGACTGTGGTCCTCCAGACTCACTCTGCCAGTGCTCAGCTTGGCTCCAGAGGAGTAAAGACCCAGGTTAGAAATCTTGGTGTCATAAATGATTCAGACATGATGATGAGCTTCACTGTTCACATTAAGGCCATAACTAGATCACAAGAGTCCATAAACAGGTCAAATTTCATCAGGTGGCCAAAGCGCATCAAAGATAAAATCAAGATTATGATTTGTGTTGTTTTTCGTCTCAGATGTTCCTGATCCAGAGGGTGAAAATGTGTTCAGTGAAACGAGTGCCTTCACCCGGATTGCTGTTCAAACTCCCAAAAAAGATTTAGCTGCAGTCGAGGCTGATGAAGAGGAGGAGGAGGAGAGCAGCGTGTCTGAGCTGCTCTCTGGCCTCAACAGCACCATCGCAGAGCTGGTCAGCACCCTGAAGTTGGTGCAACAGCATAAAGATGCTCGTCTGCAGGAGCTGCACAACACCATGTGAGTGGTGGTCAGGAAAATGTGCTGATTATAAAATATAGCTAGGGTAAATTTTAATGTTTAATTATGTTTTTATTGATTAAAAAAACAGACAAAACCCTAATCAAAATTTTTGAATGGCATTTATTTATCTCTAACAAATGTAATGTTGTTCCAGCTGTAGCCTGCAGGGGGAGCAACACCAGATTCTGCAACAGAGAGCTCAGGTGAGGTAGTCACAGATCACCAAACTAAAACCGGTACTCAGGAGTTCTGGCTCGTGGAGATGATCTAAACATTTAAGTTTCTTTATTTTCTTTTCTTTTTAAATTGTAGGACGAGAAAATTTTGTCAAAGCTGATGGTCGACGTTCAAGAGGCCCAGGAAATTGTTACTAAACACAAGACTGACAACAGTGTAAGATAAGCATAATTCTTCTGGTCGTTATCCAAATGTTTGTTCTAATGTTTGTTTCCATTTATTATTTTTCCTGCAGGAGTTACGAAAAGAGTTGGTTGAGCTCCGTTGCGCTCTGCAGCTGGAGAGAGTGGAATCTCAGTGTCTGAGGGACGAGTTGAGAAAAGCTGGAGGCCGGTCGGCCAACTCGGCCGTTCACATGGAGGAGAAGATCCAGCTACTGAGAGAGGTCTTCCACCTTCAGTATTTGATCAGTTCTAATTCCTCTAATGTTTATATTCTGCTCTTGAGTAAATAAAACTCCCTTTAATGATCGTTTTATTTTACCTGTAGGTGGAGAGACTGAAGACGGATCTTCAGGATGTAGAGCAGGCCAGAGTTAAACTCCTCGAAAGAGCAAAGAGACATGTAAGCGCGGACCTTTTCTAGTGTGTGTATTCTCGTTTACATGCTGGATTATTCTGTGTCTTTAATAAAGAAATATCTCACTCACTAATTTTTCACCTCACAGCAAACTATCCATCAAACCAACATGCTGAAAAACGAGAAGGAGATTCAGGTGTTAAACAATGTGATCCAGACAGTCAGAGAGGTCGGATATATGTAAATATGTATCACTGAGTCGATAAATGTGTGTGTAGACAGCTGACGTTTATTTTATCCCCACAGACTCTGCAGTCTATTCCTGAAGTAGTGAAGGGATGTGAAGCGCTCCAGCAGCTGACCGAATCCATCGGCTGATGTGTCACAAGTGTTTGATTTATTTATGAGTAAATGTTCTGTTCTCTTATTACTATATTTGTTATTTTCTGCAGAAATTTTTTTTTGAAATTGTATTCATTACCCTTCACATTAGCTTTTTAATGATGTGGGAGCCTTTTTGAGTAGTTTGACAAATTTTTTCTTTTTGGACAAATAAAGAAATAACTCCAGTATTTTATGAAGAAACTTTATTTCCTGTGTTGTTTTGAGCCCATAATGAAAGAGGCACAGGATTTATGAAATGTATAAATATTTAAGGCCTATTAATTTGCATTAAAATGAATTAACACAGCATAATTTCTGTCCAACAAACTAACAATTTTATTTTCTCCTGTTTAGACTGCTAAGACATTTTCAGCAATTTAAACTCTTCAAAATCAAAATTTGGTTTAATTTCTTTTCTGTATATCAACTCACTGAAATTCAGCATTCAGATAACGTTTTGACTACATGAAAACAAATAAACCACCTTTGCTGTCAGCATTTCACTGGAAGCGCCAAAAGGATGAATTATTCAGAAAGTAAATATTTACTCAGGATGGATACCCAACACGCTCCCCTTTATGCTGCTCAACCGTGCCGCAAACTGACTTCAGTCGTTGTCGCCACGTAGATTTAAAATTTTGTTTTTTTAGGTAACATTTTCATAAATATTTTGAGAAAAGAAAATTAGTCTTACAAAATCATTTCCTATGACACACATACAAATGTGTTACCTGAGGCAAAAATGGAAATCCTAATGAAGCTTGCTCATGATGATGGTGAGGTTATTTTTCTAATATTTTGTTCTTTGCAAGATGAAATATTAGGTTACAAGTCAGTTTGTTCTCCGACAAGTGGATTTGTGTCCTCTGATGTCGTAGTGTGATAACGGGGCTGTAGCAAACACTAACAACCAGCTGGCTCCAGGCAACACGTAAAACCAGCAGAGCTAAAACGCTCGACAAACTGATAAAGACGACTGCATGAAAGAAACAAGTTATTGTTTATAATTTCTTCACGTCGGAATAATTTTATTGATTTTACTTTTTTTTAAAAGTTATCTGTTCTTCAGTTGATGATTAAAACAAAAATACTGTTGATCCTTTGAAACCCATAATTGTGAAAATCTTTATTAACCATTTTGTGAAGAAAAAAAGATGACTTATCACTGTTTATTTACAAAAAAGCAAACTGAATTTGCTTTTTAATTCGCAACAAAATCCATGCAAATGCAACAAAACTATTCAAACAAACCACTTATAAAGCCAGTGACCACAAAGCACAATAATTTATATAAACATTACGAAGATTGTCATTTGCACTTAGCAGACCTAAATAAATCAAGCATGCACAAACTGAATTAAAACCATGCTTTTTGAGTTGGAGGTCTTCTTTACATAAAAGTCTAACATGTACAGGAAGTTACCGTCTGTCCTGTAAACAGGCTCGAGATGAAAAACAGAAAAATCACAGTCAAGTCCTGAGAGGTCGGTCTCAGAAAGCGTCTGGCTCACTCGGTGCTCTTTTAACGACGTGGTCTTTAGCTCAGATTGCAGAAACAAAACGGTCCATGTTCCCCGCATATGACGGGTGTCTCGGGTATCCCCCAGTGTTGGTAACCGGACCTGCTGCACTGTTATACTGTGAGAATGAGCCCAGCTGCACCGGGGAAACTCTGCCGTAGTGATCCATGGTGTCTGCAGGCCCGTGAGGCGAGGTGTGGATCCGGCCTGCTGCTGCATACCCCTGGCTGTGACCCTGACTGTAGGAGCCCTGGTGGGCATGAGCATGTAGATGGTTGCTTGGCCCAGAGTAGGTGAACCCTGTGTGTGTAGAAGTACGGGTAGCAAGGGATCCTCCACATGGCTGATTCTGGAAACCCGGCGCGCCCAGCCTGCAGGGATTTGATACGTTTGGAAGACCCTCGGGACTGAAGTTCCTGCTGGGTTGCTGCATCATTTCCGACCCTTGACCTGTCAGCATGCTGGCGGCTGAGGTCGGGTGTCCTATGATGTTATTGATGCTGAACATGCGAGTCTGACCATGTACAAACCCAGGAGGTGATGAGGAGGGATAGTAGGCAGATGGCAGCTGCTGCCCGTAGGTTGGGCTGACAGTCATGTTGGGGTAGACTGAATTGGTGAACGCAGCTGACCTGGTGATCTGAACAGGAGAGAAAACTGGGGTCTCGTGCACGTACGAGGCGTAAGTGCTGAAGTCACAGCGCTTAAACCTCTTCCTCCGCCGCAGGAAGCTGCCACTCTCGAACATGTCCTCTGCGTTCGGGTCCAGGGCCCAGTAGTTGCCCTTTCCTGGCCGGCCCGGCTCCCGAGGAATCTTTATAAAGCAATCGTTAAGGGTCAGGTTATGGCGAATGGAGTTCTGCCATTTCTTTGAATTGTCTCTGTAGAAAGGGAACCGCTCTGTGATGAATTTGTAGATTCCCCCTAATGTCAGTTTGCGGTCAGGGGAGTTGGCAATCGCCATGGAGATGAGTGCAATGTAGCTGTATGGCGGTTTTCCCCTCTGCAGGGGTCTCTTCCTCCTCCTACCCCGGGGCTGCTCCTCCATCTGAGGCGAAGGGTTGGAGGAAGGCACGGTGCTGTCCGCCGGAGAGTCCTTCTCCAATTTGACCACTGGCATCGTCATAGACAGTTTTGTTAAAAGTCCTTCAAATAACAGATTATCAAGTGAGTTCTAGTTCTTCCAAAAATTTGGGGAACTTCCCAGCACTCGTAGAACCAAATTAGATCCTCGACTGGGGATGTCAAAACAAGACATCTGCCCTGACACCTTGCTTCAGAGTTTACTTTACTTTTGTTCTTCACAACTCACTCAATGAGTCCAAATCCAGCAAATCTTCAGATTCAGACGAAGCAGCTCATTCTTCAGTTAAATGGATCTTCTCCGTTGGCTTGATGCAGATCTTTAGGTCAGCTCTTTTTCTCCCCGGAGCTTCCTGTCAGTTCAGATAGAGGAGTTGAGTTATGAGAGAAGCGTTTGTGGTGTTTAAGGTGTGAGAGGGAATGAGTCACTCGGCGCTACCTGATGAGGGTATTACCTGTGCAGAGCTCCTCCGGGGCCCCGCCCCCATGAGCATCACATGCTCTCAGCATACCTAAACTTCACATGGGTCCATTGTTAGTCAAAGTCTGAATGCTTCATTCCAAAGAAAAACCTTTTTTACGGTATTTCATGTTTTTATTTATCTGATTCGTATCACACACTCTGAAATGTGAAAAGTATCTAAATAGTTGTAATTTTTGTTTTTTACTCTCTCTTTTTTTAAAATTGTTATGAGTTATTTTACTTTAAGGTAAAATTACCGCAAACCGTCCAAAATAAACACCCCTTCCTCTTTTTATTCAAATGCCTCTTTTAAGCCAACCTCAGTTTATTTTAAAATGTCTAAAATGGTCCCTGTTGTTTTGACGTTTAACGCTAAAGCACCTCTTTAGTGGTAACTTAACCTATGAGTTGTTTTTCTATCTTGCTTCCTTGTTTGTTTTGGGCCAGTGGTTGGACCAGCCAGCTGTGTTAAGAGATGTAAATGTTGTCCAGACAAAGGCCCTCCAGTGATTTCAGCATGCAAAATAAAGGCCATCATCATCAACCTCATTATGAAGCCTGGATGCACGCTAGGAGAAATGGAATACAGCCAGCTTTTGGTGTAGACGTAGAAATTTGTTTTGCTCAAAATGTTGGTGTTGCCTTTTAAAGTCCATCTTGGGTGAAAACGTGCTGTCAGTTTAAGCCTCTTCCATCCCAGCATGTCCCAGTTGTGCTTTTTAAGCCAAGTTTAAACATGTTGAAGTTTCAGGGATGGAAGTGGGTCCAGTACTCTGAGCCTCTCTTGAGGTATGGAGTCCTGGGAGTCACCGAGGCAGGAGTTCACTGTTTTAATCTCCTAACCAAACAAACAGCAGCACTCTTCCACCGCTCCTCATTGGAGCGGGTTCAGGGCCGAAGCATAGGGAGAGAGGGAGAGAGAGTGTTGGTTTGCTTAGAAAAGCAAACCTGATGAAAGAGTGAGTCCTGTAGGGAAGGAGGGCCGTGCTTGTGGCTGTCCTGCACCGAAGCTGCAGCACTCTGATGGGTGTGGGCTAAGGTATGGTGTGTGATGAAACGAGGAGTGATTTGGGGGTTTCACATGAAGATTTAATACCCGTTTTGCAATTTGTGCCAATTCCCAAAGACCAGGTCTAGAGGAGAAAGGATGTAATACAAAGAAAGTAAAATAATATTGAACGCCGTTATGGCTGCTCTCATGGTCTGCCTGTATCTGTTCTGTCTACATGTGTGTGTGTAACCTTGGTCAGGCTGTGCTGCGGAGTCAAGTTCCTATGCTCTGGTTCACTGGAGCACTGGCAATAAAGCTTTCTGATTCTGATGTAGCGCTACACTGATAAAGGGCCGGATGACATATTACCCAGGATTCTGAATTAAAGCCACCTTACATTGAGAAGTGACGGAAGTTTCTGGTAATACGTTACAATAAGGGTTGCTTTATTATCATCACTTAGTGCTTTATTAAGCATTAATAAACTATTAAACACAGTTTTAACAACTGCTAAATATTAAGCCCCCCCCCCCCCCCCCCCGGTCTTTGTCCTAACCTTAATTACACGTAACTGTTAACAATATCTAGAATGTTAATAAAGGGATCTTTTGTTAATTAATGCTTAATAATGCACTAAGTGACATTATTAAAGTGACCCTTATTTTTACTGTTACCAGCTTTCCTGTTTTAGTGAAACTCTCTAGATTAAAGTTATGTACAACCTCATAAGATCTTGGGAAGTCTGTTAGCATTCGGTCTGTGTTAGAGGTGTCCAACCCTGGTCCTCCAGGGCCACTATCCAGCATGTTTAAGTTGTGTCCATGTGCCAGCTCTCCTGATTCAGAGGTTCAGTCACCTGTTCAGCTCTGCAGAAGCCTGTTAATAATCTCTAACTTGATTAAATTCAAGTGTGTTGAAGCAGGAAAACCTCTAACATACAGGATTGGACTCCACTGATCTACGCAACAGGGACTGACTCAGCCACATTAATGTCAGTTAGCTGTGGTGGCCATCTTGCATTTGGCTGACATCGGCCCAATCCCAATACTCGCACTGCGCCCTGTGGTCTTCAGCAAAGTGAACTTGGAGGAACTGTGCAGTAAGGCTTCGCATTGATGCGGACTTGGGCCAAATGCAGATCAAGGTTGCAAAAGGGGCGTGGTCAACTTCCACACTTGAGAATCAGGACACCTTACGTACTCGCACCCCAGGTCTGGAACGTGCAATTAAAGGGCACAAGGGTGGAAGTGTGAGTATTGGGACTGGGCCAGGACCATTATCCTCCTAAGACCCTGTGTCCACATTTGAGGACGTTGGCTTCTTACACAATAAAAATTTGTTCTCTTCAACTTATTTAGACACGCTTGGTATTAATTTGAAGTTTAAACTTTTTTTGTTTTCCTTCATTTTTTTAAAGGAAATTTAACAACATTTTTATTCATATTTATTTATTTTTGAATTTGTTTTTAATATGTTTATTATTTAAAATCACAGAAATGCGGGTCTTGGGAGGTTAAGAGAGAATCACTCACATATGTACAACCCAGTAATACTTTTAATCTTCTAGTCTTCTGTTATTAACTTTTAACAATCCAAGTTATCCAGTTAGGATCTTTTAAAGTCATCAGAGCTTACATTTGATCAAACCTTTCTCATCCTTCTTTGAATTTCTGATTATACATTGTATGTAAATATACTTAAACAGGAGCTGCTCTTTGCTGCTTCTGATCTTCATAACGGTGACATAAGTCATTATCCTGCAGACAGAAGTCAAGATAACATCTGTTTATCAACATTCACAGTGGTTAACTGCTCTATTTGCTCAGTGTCACGGTTCCTCCTGTCTGCCTAAAAAACTGGAATAATTATATTAATAATTTAGTCAGATGTCTTTGGTTGTAAGCAGCACTATTTGTTGTCCGCCTTTTATAAATTATGACGTTTTGCCAAAGCAAATTCATCTAACGCTCCAGGCAAAGTACATTTGTCTTCGACACCTCATTGAAAAAATACCACACGTGACTTTATGGCAAATATTTATTTTTATGGAAATAATTAACTTAATTTCAAAGGTCTTGAATGCGAAGCTCAGCTGTAGGTTTAGCTGAAGACACTTTTTAATGTTTAATGTCGGTCTGTTTGTTATTCTTTTTACTTCAACTGAAATAGAAGATGGGGGTTCACGTTTAGCGTGATATAACATCTTCAGATTTTAGGGAGTTTTTTCTGTTTAGATGACTATGGGCTCATTATATATATATTTTTCCAAATCTAAGTACTCACAGGCTAAAAATGACAAAATTTCACACTGAATTCAAAACTAGTGAAGCAATTATAAAAACAAAGGCCACTAATCAGCTTCACTTTTATACTGCAGTGATCCACAGAAACAAACAAGCAAACACACACTCACAAAAAAACCCAACTGGGAACTTTGTAAGTTTTTTAATTATAAAAGTTATTACAATTCACTGAGAAACCATTTTCACTTTTTAAAATAGGACTGATTATTTGTGAGTTTCACAAGCAGGCTAAAAGTGAAAATAGTCTTCTACCCCATTTCCTGCCCCAGCTACTAAATGAAATACAAGAAAATGCTCGGGTTAGAAAAACCAGTCAGATCTCATCACACTGAAAATGAGCATTCATGGACTCCTGACAGGAAAGGCTGTTGTTGATTTAGCATCCAGGAGAGAGCAGAGCACGTATCGGACAGTAGTGGCTAACCATTAGCATTAGCAACTTCAGAACATGGCAGAACTCTTTCAGGCTTGTGTTGTTTGTGGAGATGAAGCATCAACGTTGCAAAGCAAACAGGAAGCCTAAGTCACGCCCATCTACTTCCGGACCATAGGTGCCCGGAAGAACAAGAAAAAAAAAAAAAAAAAAAAGAATGCAGGTCAACGGGGCTAAAAACCCTATTTTCTAATTGCTCTTGTTATGTGCCATGGATTTCACATATGATGTTCGTGAGTTTTAAAGAAGCTTTTGGACACCAAGAACGCACTTATTTCCGAACGGGAGGCAACACTATTTTAGGTTTTGTGTGAAAATAATTCCAGGACTAAAAATGCGTCATCAAACCATACACGGAGAAAACAGAGAGAAAATGGCTGTAAGTTCAGAAAACTTCCAATCCTTCCTTCAGGAAGGAAGAACCACCATAAATCTGGTCATAGCAGCTACTTTGGGGAGAGGCGATTATGTGGTGACGTCATATACGTGACGTGCTGCTGTAGTCTTGCTAATTGCAAACATTTACAAGCTGATAAATCTCAAAGTACGTGACTGACGCGGTCAAAACACCCATCATTAGTTTTCATTTAAATTACAGTATAACATATGTGTGATCCAGGGCGTGAGGCAAAGCGGATTAGAAAATAGCGTTTTTAGCCCCGTTGACTTGAATTCATTTTTTTGTTTTTTTGGAGACCCATGGGCCGACCGGAAAGGGAGGAGACTTAGGCTCCCTACAGTCAGTGGTAGAGTTGTGTTGCTGTTGGCCAATCAGAGGTGAGATGTGTGAATATCCAAATCCTGACGTGTTCGGCTGCCCTCTCCTCTGGCTAGCTTCTACTTTGTCTTTAAATGCAAGGTACAACATAAATGTTCTATCATTCTGTCATCATGTCTAGTTTTCATGAATTACAAAGACGAGGAAAATACAAAAACTGATGAAAAAAAATCTGAAATCTTCAGATTGCTGAGGAGATTTAACAAAACGTTTGCACCTGTCTCCCTACGTGCTCTCAGTTTCCAAATGTGTGTTTTTAAAACATCAATGTAAATGTAAAGAATTTTGCATTCATTTGAATCATTCCACCACGACTGTAAACCCGATCGTTGTTATCTTCATCTCAGCTTCTGACAGATGAGATGGACAAAGTCATGCAGCTTCTAGCCAGCCTCACCCCTTCCATAAGCCTGCTTCTTATGCTCGATGATAATGAACAATCAGCGGTGAGTAATTTCTCAGGTGCCTGTTGTTACTGGAGGGAAGGCTCAGAGCCACGTTCTCCACTTGGCTCTCACACAGCTGGTTCTCAAGCGTTTCTGTCTCTGTTCGTGCAGGTAGATCAAAGGTAGGATGCACGCTGCTGGAAGCTGAATCTGCTGTTAGCATTTGTTATCACAGAGCACTGAACATGTTGATGTACTTTCATGGTCTAAATGATTTACGAGTTTAGAGCTGCAATTACTAAATAGCTGTAATAAAATACAGTTTGACAGTTCACTTTGTGGCAGCTCGTAATTGTGTCTGTGTGTGTTTGTTTTAGAAAAAATATCTCATGAGCCACTTGATAGATTTTACATGTTTACTCCACTACTCAGAGTCCTTTTGGCCTGACTCGGGGGATTTTGTAATTCTGTAATGCTGCATTTGACATTGTGGACCACAGTCTCCTGATTTCTCGGT